GTTGTCTGGGCCACCTTTTCTACCTTTTACCGTGTAAAACGGCATCTCCGATATCTTATCGTTCACCTAGGTCGGAATTACGGATCCACTCCCTCAGTAGCGCCATACGAGATACCCTAGTATCGTCCATTCGACTATGCGTTGATAAAGGGCAGTGATTTTTCATCTTAATTGCACAATGACCAAGTTTCCGATGCGCGTGTTAGGTGGAAACATGGAGTTGAATAGATGGGTAGGGAGACGCGTGTTTTAGGCCACATATCTATCAGTGGTCCTGAAAGCGTCCCAAGCCAGTTCTTTGCTCTTGCTCAACTCTGGAGCTAAGTCGTTCATCATGTTGATTTCCTAACCAAGGGAAACCTAGCTGGACAATACGAACGTACTCATTCCGTTGACCGTGAATGAGGCACACGAAACCAATCCGTTCCTCATGAACCTCGTTCTTATGAGATTCAATCGAAAACCGGTCATTTCACAAACGTAATCAAATCTTCAGTAAGGCAAAGGTAGAGTAATTGCCGACCATCGGCCTTCACTACTATGTTGTCTTATTCTAATGTTCGCATGACGCTCTCAAACGTGACACCAGATGATTCCGTCGAAATGATATCGTCTCGCCTAACACCTTTTTGACTTCGCTGCCATTGTAGAATGGGGATATTTCAGTGGTGGATTTTCTTGTATAGCTCACGAAGAATCTCTATGTAATAGAGAGGGACTCTGCTCACAGCTTCTTTGACTGCCTCTCTCTCAACTAAGCTGAAGGCTTTCTTTCACTTGACGAGACGGAGCGGTTTCTTGTACTCTCGCGATGTGTCTTAGATAGTTCCATGAGTCTCGTTATTCTGTAGCGCTGTTTTTATCAAATATTGGCTTTGTTACTTCTATGGTTTTTGTTATCGAATGAATATGCAAACATTTTAGAGCAACCAAAGTATTTCTTTGGACAAAACTCTGAACACGAAAAGCCCTTCAGACGAGGTAACATGTAGACAAGGTAGCAGCAGACTATGTACCTCGTTTAAAACAGTGCGTCGTTTCAGTTGCCTGTAGAGGAAACGCAGAATTCTTCGCAAGGTCCTCCAGTGAACACGATGATTAAAAGCAAAATAGTATATTATTTTTGTATCCATTACGAGAGATTTTCTGGTAGTTAAGGATTAGGTTTAGTAGGTAACTAGTTATATTCCAGGCTACGATTCCGTTTAATCTGAAGAAGTTCTCGTTGTTAGAAAAGACTCTATCAGTAAAACCCAAGCTACGGCTAGTGATTTCGTAAATTTTCTTTGTGTATACAAAAGACATTTAGGGAAGAAATATTGGTCAAAAATAGTTTGGGTTTAGGAGTCCTTTTATCCTATTTCAAAAAGGAAAAAAGTATTGAATTAGTGATTCGTATTTCTCTTTGGCCCGTTTTATACCTAAAGAGTACCCAGACGAGATAGCTGGATGCCAGCCAGCACGTTTTTTTATTCACTTACCAGCATCCACACCAGTTGATTTTAAACGATTTCATGTAAACGTTTTAATTTTTTTATGCTAGATCTATTGACATGGTTTGTCTTCTTGGTATAGCCCATAATGCACATCGTTGATGTGGGAAACTATGGAACGTATACAGGCGAAACTTTTTTCGGCTACTAGAACTCATGCGAAGGTGAATAGCACAGCGGTAGTGATGACGTTTAACAGAGCAGAGATCTTGTTGAACACTGCCTCTAGTCATCACTTTAAAGTTAGGATAATAGTACCAAGCCAAACCTCGGCAGAAGAGTGACAACTAGCTGTGATGAGGATTTAGGAATGCTCTAGCATGCCTCACTCAGGATTGTGAGAAAGACGAACTTAACCGGAACTTAGCGACGTTCATAACAAAGACGAAAGATTTTCAAGCAGCAATGGAATCCGCCCGCATAACCTAAATGCTTCGTGAACGATGGATTTGAGGAACCGAATCAACTGAAAGAAATGCTATTATCCGCACAATACATAATGTCAGGTCATTTTTAAAAAAAACTGTACAACTCCAACACACCGAGATATTTGTTGGACTATGTACGACGAATTCGATTAAAGTGTGTGATGCGTTTTTACTGTAGTGGTTATTTTTAGTGTGAAAACGACATCGACAACGAGGAAAAGTATGAACCTGCCACGCGCACCAAAAGGAAATCATGACGAGGAGCTCATTGAGATGGTAGGCATAATCGTAAACTGATGAATGAGGGAGAAGAAACACACATGAGGAAACACCCTGTTTATTCAGGAGAGGATTCTGGCAGAAGATAGCAGTGAAAACCACTCTGTTGGAATCCAGTCGTGACACAAGAAAACTCGTCGGAATGAATTTAAAGGGCACATTTGTTCGATTAGGATTGAAACAACCTATTGAAGTTACAAAATAAAACAACGGAAAAAAACTTTTGGTTTGGCTTGTCAATCTGCATACGTTACAGTCGCGACAGACGCGGACACTAATTGGGCGCGTGTGACGCAGTGGTCGGAGGCGCCCCGCAATACACTTGCTATCGATTCTTGGGCCTATGGCCCACCAAGCCTTCCATCGCTCCGGGATGGGTAAATTGGTACTAGACTTGTCTTGGAGGATAGCAGCACTGGCTCGACACATCGGTAGGCCATAGCGAGTCCTTTTAAAGGCCAGAAATGCCTTCAATCACCTCCAACGATACTTAATGAAGTCGAATGAATGGCGGATCCTTTAGGGATTGATCAACGCCAAAAGCTTTCTCCTTTATCCTTTACAGTAGCGTACATTAACTGGCATCTTCTGCGATTTCACCAAAATTTCTGGTCAGGAATTTCGAAGACTGAGTTCCTCTTAACTAAGGGATTGATCGACGACTCGCTGTTTTCTTGCCGAGTAGATACGAGGCTGTTATGGTGCTATTTGCTTGACACAGGTTATCGATTCGGCAGAAGCCACCTTCGGAGCCGTGAAATGTCAAACGAATGGATTCGACTCGATGTGACTATGAATACCCACATTTCAAGAATAAAAATTAGGAGTAAATGGCTACAGGCAATATACTTGAACTGTCGCAGCTCTGAAAAAGGCGAAATCCGCCGAAACGTTAGCAGAACCAAAACTTCCTGATAGCCTTGTATTTGCTTAATAATCCAAGAAAATATTGACCAATCATGACGAGGTTAAACAGCTTTGGAAACATGATAGAAGTGAAATTCGACAAAAATCAACAAGCTTGACACGTTCAAAATCGATAATCGACAAAATGTTTCTCATAATGTCAAAAATGCAAATGGAGCTGTATAAGGTCTTTACAAAGTCCTTTCTTAAAGGAGTATTCAATAATTCAGGTGCGCAAACCATATAATGAACATCGATGAACATAATAGTAAACAAACTTAATTTGCTTAAGGTAAGAGGATTCTATTCTTGTAGGGATTATACACCTCGCAAAGATTTACTGCTTGATCGTGGCTCGGAGGTGTTTCTGGGCGTGGGGTTGCGATCTAGAGCGGTGGGATTCATCCACCCGGCAGGGACTCCGAAGTTGTGAATCAGTCTGGCGTTTCTATCAGGAAGCCTAGCTAAGACTAAACCAATATTAGGATCCACCACCGTCCTGGTGTCAAAACAGGCGCACTTTGGAAAACTTCGACCAGGGCTGCGACTGCCTGTGGTGGTGACGACTTGAGGAAGGCTTCTGCTGGGCTACCTCGAGACTACAGGGAAACACTATAGCAAAAGCAGGGAAACTCCGAAACAATGGGAATTATGTTGGGGCCCGCACAACCAGTGAAGACGGGCCATCGAACTATCCAATTAAGTTCCAATTTCATTTCCTAACATAGAAAACATATCACTGCTCTCTTTCGATTATATAACAACTTAAAGTATTGTAGAGAAGCAAACAACCAATGTCTTATGATCAAGGGTAAACGAGAAGGCGTTCACTTGCGATCAGTGTCATGGAGATAGGCATCGCAAAGGTGAATGAATGCATATTTGGCCAATACAATGAGTTGCTGAGATCTATACTTAGTACAGATCGCTCTTCTTATTGTCCCTGACAAGCATGGTACCAAATCCCCCACTCAGGATCAGTGGAGAGCTTGATTCGGCTTGGATATGTTATCGAACCAACGACTACATGCTTATTGCATGACTAATTTAACACTACACTACACACATCCATTAATGCGCAACCTATGAGAAACAGATCGATAAAATTGTCGTGCTAAATTCCGCGCTAAGCTTCAAACGTTCTAGAAGAGGAGTCCAAAATTTTGACGGCTACAAGATAGCTGAAAAGTCGCCGGAGTCCAACTGCTTAGTGTAAGACCGCTAATTGATTGGAAAAGTCTTTCAGCGGTATGTTGAAGGATGCAAAAAGTTTTACACCACCTATCTTCTTAATCACTTGTCAAAAGCGATTATAACTAATAGTGATGCGATCGTCTTGTGAGGCTTAATCAGTTGGATAAAGGATTAAGCTTTCCGCCTTGATCAATTCCTGAGAGATCCGCCATGCAAGACTTCATTAAGCATCGTAAGAGGTGATTCAATGCATATCTGGCCTATATAGGACTCATGGTAGCCTACCGATGTATCAATCCGGTGCTGCTATCCCCCGGAGAAGTCTAGTGCCAATTTGCCGACCCCGAGGGGATGGAAGACTCGGTGGACCTGGAGTGCAGGATCGAACCGCCGTGTATTCCGGGACGCCACCGGTACATATGGAAGTGTGATATGTGGAGCAGGACGAAATCTAACAGTAGCTTCCTTCAATTCAAGTGAATAGCACTGCTGTCAGCTACCAATTCAGGCTCGAAAACTCGAAATCTGTTGCCTTCCCTCGTGTTTTCTAGTTGCATTCATGAAAAACAAAAGGATAACTAAGGTCCAAACAATTCTCCATTAAGACAATGAAAGAGTGGTATCCTCTTTATTCTATACTTGTCTATTCGCTGAGCGGTGAAGCTGTTCGAAGTATTCTTCAAGCTGCACGTTCACATCAATGAATGCGTTTCCCCCTGATGTCGTTCAACATGGCATGAATCCACTGCTCCGAAACACTATTAATGAAGCCGTAAAGGTAAGCTGCTTCTGCCTTTTAGACACTTACTTGAATCTTGTAGCAGTTCTATAACATGGAAGAGTAATGTGGTGTTTATCCATGATATGTGGTACCATCACTCAGCGCTCGATTCAGACTAGTTAGACATTTGTCCGATTTTCGCTGTAGTAGATTGAATGAACCCGATATTATACCAATGCCCGAAATTTTTCCTTGTGATTTGGCAAAAATATGTCGATCGATACATAATATATCAATCTCGTTAGTTTCTAGATTCTTCTTTATTCATCGCGACATGGTGATCGTGTTCGAGTGAATACAATGTCGTCACATGAAGAGCTCGTCGATCCGCTCTACTCGAAATCGTTCAAAACTGCTCACGAAAGAAGTCAAGACTCAGTTTTAATGCTGGCAATGCAAGCAATTTCATATCTGATACGGTTGCAAGAGATTCCTCTAGACACATGGGTAATGCTCTATTACCTCAAGAACTTTCTCTAATAAACATTGAAATTCAGCTGAACTAGAATAGTTGTATACGTGGAATCACATGCTATATGAAGCGTCATTTCGTTAACACGTGTCTTTCATCGTCATTTGTGTCTTCTACAGAAACACCAGACATAATCCCTCTTCTATTTTTATTCCTTCGGTGACAACAATATTTGAAAAGAACTCTGACTGATTTCAACTAAAATATTCCAATGGAGTTTGCTGGTATGTTCATGGGTATGCGCACGGATAATGCTAGAACATTTAAAACTCAGGAGTGGAAAGAAAACTGGGGCTCTAATTGTGAGCGCGAAATTTTTAAATTTCACAAGCAAACTATTCATAAGCGTTCCGACCTATGCCGGTTCGATTCAGTATGTTCTGACATTCATGAGTTTTTCCCATGGAGAAAAGGAAAGGGTATGAAGATTCTGGTTGATTAATGATGTCAAACACTTGAGGCACTTCTTTGTTGTAATAAGATTATAAATCTTTTTTTCCTTCTCTTAAAGGACTTGGTGTTCACGCAATACGATGAACCATAAAATTTGCTAGTTGAACCCTTATTTAAATAGAAACGTGTAAACAAGATAAGTACCATAGTGATCAGCAGGCAGAAATGCCACGAATAAGGCGTTATATTGTCCTTAAGAAATTTGCTTCTGCAACACAAACGTGGAGCATTGTGAGGAAAAATGGTGTATCTTGCAAACGTAGCCTGGGCTGCAGGGTTGGCGTTGGCGTCGACCATCCATGGTTCTTGGAAGATTGATTCAGCTGATCACTGTCAATTCTCACAGAGCTCAGAGAGAGGATGGAAAAGGAGGCAGTTAAAGGATCACCCTGATTAGTCATCCCAGCTTTCCCAGTGAATTAAGATAGGTTGGTGATTGTAAAATTTTGTTGACATTCCAGTTTGCAATCAAAATTGGTTACCAATAGATGGATAATATTGTCTTGTGTACAGGCAATATTATCTACACACCTTCATCATGGTATGACTGTGATGATTTGTGCTTTTAGTTCAAGAGAGGGCACTGTTCACAGCATAGCAACGCCCTATTGTGAAATGAAAGTTTCATGCAAAAGAAAAGCACACCGAGGTAAACTTTCTACTTAAATTTCCAATTATTCCTTGTTAGCTTACGGGCAATCGTTTTCCATAGTTTCTTCCCTTGATGGTAAATCAGAACATATTTTTTCTCCGGTAGGAGTAGGAAGGTAGTAGTGCGAAAGGAGTGGAAGTAATGGAGCTTCTAGAATGCTTGGTGACACTTGTGTCACAAAAAACTTTTGTTAATGTTTTTAACGTTGTGTTTAAGAATATTTGTTTCATTATCTACAACCTAGAATTTATACACGGATATGAAACGCAAAGAGACGAAGGCAGTGCACTGGCAGAGGTGGCGATCAGTACGTTCAGGATCCTGGTTCAATCTCATCAACCGTCCAAATCGAACGAAGCCTTCCATTCTTCCAAGTTAGTGGAATCGGCAACGGTCTATTGACTTATTGTTCTCCGAAGTTCGCCCAAGTCCGCGCGCTCTAGGGTCTCCCTAACACATCTTTCCTTGAACTCCAGGGAGAATAGACTCGACCAGGATTTAATGAAACCAAAATTCACAAAGCTGTGGCCAAAATCACACCTAAGTTCGAAAACATTATTTATGGATAACGAATGTGATGAATCGAAAGGCATTGAACAATTGGTGGGATGGGAATAACGCAACTCAAGACAAGTCATTTAAAAAGGAAAATTAAAAAAATCAATTTAATGTGGAACCGGAACATCTATTTCGTAGCAAAGCTGCCACTGTAATAATCGGTACTGCAGCATGCTAAGCAATACTTCGCACAACGACTGCTTCTAGTGCTAACCGAGATAGCATTTTTTGCAGTGACCTGCACCCCCTGCTATCCGTTTACCTTCTACCATCGTACGATCGTCTTCATGTTCTCGGCTCTCCGAAACCGCGTTCCTCAAGGAAATGAGATGATATCGGCGTGGAAGGAATCCCACTTTTACCGTAGCCCCAGTCGAGCCCTATTTTAAAACATTTCAACAAGGTTTCATGCACGTGATCATCACAGATTTGTTCAGCAAGCACATCTGAGTGACCAGATGGAAAGAGAGCTCACTGAGAGCCGTCGTCTGATCATTTGTGTCCAGCCTCTCCTTATTGAAACCTTCAATTGCTTGAGATCGAAGGAAAGCATGATGTTATGAAGTGTGAACATCAGTCCCCGTCGTCGTGTAACTTCCGAATCACTATGCCTCACCAATTCTTCTTTCCTCTTTTCGCATTCAATTGAATTAGTCATTTTCTGCTCTGCCTACAACTGTCTACACTATTGCTTCTTCTCTGCAATAAGTTAGCAGCCCACGTAGCTCTCATCACTGTAGGCTAAAGCAACAAGGGGTCACTACCGGTATACGCCAAAATTCTGCAGCCGTCTTTTGAGAGCTTCTATTTAGGAAACTTGGCAGATAGTGAGTTTACCTCAAAACTGAACCAAGGACTTATCAACACAGGCATACTTTCCAGCCCTTTATGTTGTTTTGCAATCTTTGTTGACAAGCTGCATGAGACGTCGATTTTTCTAGACCTACTTCGTCAGCCACTTTCGGGAAAATGGAGGTAAGCCAAGAAGCTTTGAAATCTATCTTTAATAATTATATAACATATGATATAATTAGCACCAGACTTGTCTGGGAAAAAAATCAGTCTATGCAACCCAACTGGGAACGCTCTAGCCCGGCTATCTCAGGACACCAGGGAGAATTGCTCGACGATCATTCTACCATTCATTCCACGACATTCAAGACAGAATGAAAACTCTCGAGCAGCAACCGAAGCCACACGTAAAAGTTGGAAGATCTTTGTGGACAATGGATAGGAGGAAACGAATCGAATGTGAGAAGTGCTGGGATCCGGACGGTAGACGTGAAGACGGGTTATGTAAAATAAAAAAATATAACCACAAGATTGCTGAGATATTTGCGAAACTCCGGACCGCAGGCGTATGCGGTGGAGAACGAACACGTGCTATTGTCCTTCCCGGGGAGTAACGCGTTCACCACCACACCATGCGGGTCCTTCGTTTCGCCTGTACCTCAGCTAGTTCTATCGATCAGTGATCCTCCTAGGCAAGTCTGGTACCAATTTATTGACCCCGGAGGGATGGAGGGCTTGGTGAGCCATCGGCGCAGGGATCAATCTTTTCTGTGAATTGCAGGGCGCCTTCAACCACTACGCCACACGCGTCCTAGGTTTACATAAAAACTATTAATAGACGCCAGCTAAATTATCACCAACATTCAAGAAAAGCACAATGGTCAAGAGTTCATGGAATCAGCAAAGGTTCGGATTCAGAAGATGGCATATCGATAAGACTACTAAAATTTTTCTAAAATTCCCCATAAGTTCTTCCTCGCATCCATGCACAATAGAAGCTGTGTACACCAAAATGAGCTCCTCTTCCAGTTTAAAATGTTTACTAAATCATCGTTAGATTTTTTGATTTTAGGACCAATTCGTTACCAATAGAGCGACTGCGCCGTAGTGCAATTTGATGTTATGTGGCTTAGACACAATGTATCCATACTGACAGCTTTGTTAGAGAAGGCGAAGATGATGGCTACTGTATCAATTCAGTTCCGGCCCGCTTTAAAACACATTGCTGGTTGATAGTTGAAGACGATTGAGGGGCACTTAGCCAGATCACCGCCAATTTCTTGATAAACAACAGAAGCATTTTCTACAATAGGACTGGTGAACTGGCGTGCAAGTAATTTCAGAGCGTTTTTTTCCCGAATTTATGTATTCCCTTTCGTTAATTGAAAGGCGTCATGGTTGACCTTGTCGTGATGAAATCATGTAGCCAGATGGTTTGTGGTCGGCAAACATGCAAATCGAATGCCGTCGCTTCCAGATGAAGCAATGATGCCATCTGCCACAACGCCACCTAGACGACTGATCCGACGACTTTTGCACCTTCTCTGTACGTACAGAAATCTCGTTGCGCTGGTTAGGCACTCCGGTTGCACAGAATGTTCTCCGTGCATATCCTTTCACTTTTCATGTTACCGTACGTTTCCTGGTTAAGTATTTATTGTTCATAATAATATTTCTTCCAGTTCTTCCTCTGTTTCGAAATTGTTTTTGGCCCATTGCACGTTGCCAGCACTAAATCATTACTGGCAAGTGTATCATAATACCCATACTTCTGGGGAACTACGACAATGTCCATCCACTCTAGAGCCTCCATTTAACCAATAACTTTCGTACTCTTTAACAGGACCTCTTCCCGCTCCACGAGCACAATTTGAGGATTGATATTGATCTCTCAGTCCATTCATACTACTATCCTTCCATGCTTGCGCCTGCCCACATTATTCTTGGTTAACAAAGTATATTTAGGGGCGTATAGGAGGGCGTGTAGCGCAGTGGTCAGAGACGCCCTGCAATACACACCAATACACACGGAATTAATCCTCCCGTCCAAGGCTCACCAAGCTCTCCATCAGTCCGAGGTCGGTAAAATGGTACAAGACTTGTCTGGGAGGATATCAACACAGGGGTTCGATAGAACGGTACACTTCGAGTCATTGTAAAGGCCAGATATGCATTCATTTACCTCTAATAACGAAGTTGAATCCATGGCGCATCTCTCAGGGATTGGTCAACGCCGAGAGCTTTAACCCTTGTTTTTGTCGCATTACAGAATGACCAGTCAACATAAATTTCTGTATTCCTTGTATTATTTTGTAATCGTCTTGTTTTTTGTATACTTTATTCTTTGTATTTTTCGTAATTCTTTCAAAATAGATGTTGAACAGTCATTCGAGGTTGAAAGAAAGTCGGTTTTTTAAAAAGAGTACAGTTTATATTCTTCGCACTCATCAATTAAAAATTCTAGAACACTTCCCAAAACCGAATTTTTACTGACTTTGGCGTTTTTCAATAGATTCTTTATTACTATAATGCTGAGATATTTGGAAAACTCCGGACCTCAGGTGTCTGCGGTGGGGAACGAACGCGCTATTGTCCTTTCCGGGGAGTAACGCGTTCACCACCACACCATGTAGGTCCCTCGTTTCGCCTGTCGCTCAGCTAGCTCTATCGATCTCTTTTTTCTTTTTCTTTCGAATTTCTTTATTATTCTTGAGCAGAAACGGGGTTGTCAATAACAAGATTGACTCACTACTGGCTGGTGTTTCAGGGGCTTTGCCTTCTTCAGAGGCTGAAAAAATAAAAGTCGCAATCGAAGAGGAAAAATTGTTTTGCTGAGTAGATGAATTTAATTTCATCTTTTCAAGCCGTGAAAAGACGAAACTGCCGAAGTGTTAACCAATGTTGAAAAAGCCAAGGGCAATTATTTACGTTTTCTGCGTCATACAACCTTTACTTGATTGAAGTTATCAGACTTTTTGGCTTGACTGAACGATAAAATAATGTCTGTGGAGCGCTGGACTATCCATCGCGGTACACACTGTATCAGTTCGTGAGCTGATTGAATCGATGTAGAATGCGACGACCACGACGAGTGCAATGAGGATTCTTACGAAAATAAATACGCTCTCGTTTCGCTCCTTTCTCTCTCTCTGTCCCTCTCTCCATTCTCCGTTCATTCCTAAAACAGTCGCGAGTGACTTCAGTGACCGTCTCCACCCACCACGGCTCGTTCTGCTGATTCTCAAACAGTCAGCACGTCCCCCACGTACACAGTCGGATGTATCGGCTCTTCGTGTTGATCGTCCTACTCGAAGGTAACCGACCCTCTCTCAAGCGAATCGTATTATAGTAAAGTTTACTTAAAGGGTGCTAAGATATGAGCGAAAGTAGAAACTTCGGGTGTACCTCAAACTCATAATTACCGTACCTGGAGGTCTTTGTCTTATCCTCCGCACCAACCGAGTCTTTTGATTTGTCTTTCTCTCTATAAGTCTTTTACGCTGACGGTGTCATCAGTAACTACCCGTCATCTGGAACGATGTGGTGAGCAAAAATCGGCACTGAACCCAGTTAAGCAGAAGAGGCAGTCGAAATCACGATGTTCTAGTGTTTTGACCTGAAAGCTAAAGCATTAAGCATGCGTAGTTTTTGTTTCGTTATCACACTACCGTTAATGTATTTTCTTCTCCTACTACAGTACCACTAGTTTATATCGTAAGTAAAGCGCGGACGCTGAATGATGCCGCACGAAAAGTTTATTATTTCACTCTTCCAAGACCCAGGTTTCAAAGGTGTTGTTGTGAAAGCGTGGTAGCCATTGTTGAGCGTATCTTTCTTGGACTCAAAAGAATTCAGTGAAATGAAAAAGGGTTTCCCCGCTTAACTTCTTCATCTGCTTTATAAGGCAAATCTTGAAGAAATTAAAGCCTACCTTATACGGGAATTTGTGGCAGGCTTTTACTTCATATTTACTACTTAAATAAAAGAATAGGATCATTTACAACACGTAAACGTAGACCGCATTTACTGCAAGTCTAAGAGCAACTTAGACTTTTATTTTATGTCTCTATATGACATAGTATTACTGTATTCAGAGACAAACACGGATAAGACTCTGACGTTGTTGTTTAGGAGTCAGCAGTAAAGAGAAATGTCGAATAGGAGACGACTGTAATCAGTGTGTACTCTCACAAGAAGGTGACAAATGCACAGAAGAGATCACACAAGCATCACTATACTGTGATACGATAACCAAGTAGGGTAGTTTTGGATTTCTAGACATTTATAGGGCTCCTACGTATTGATTCATTAAATTCTTACTTGAAAGCTCTTCTTCTGCTTGAAGCTGGAGTTACTTGTTTTTGTAATGCAATCAAAAAACGCTGTTTTAAATTCCTTTTTGCACGTCACAAAACTTCATTTCTGAAGACTAGCTCCAAAGGCGCTCTTCGTGGAGCTTCTACACAAACTGTCTACGAGTATTATTTCTTTTCTTAAAGGTTTCACTTGTGCCATTTCTATAAGTTTGATTTATGCCATTTACAAAGTGATTCAAATAGGCACCAATGAAATCCTCGTTCATAGTTGTGATAGCTGTCCAGTAGATTTCACAGGCTTGAAAGACAAAAGTAACACATTTTCTTGTAACGCACTGTATTCTTGTTGCTTTTTCTAAGGGTATCCTTAAAAATCACGGTTAGGCTTAGCCGATAGATGCTCCTTAAGCTCACGGGTAGAAGTGGAGTTTGTTGTATGCTGACCTCGAACCGCCTACACTCACGGAAAGTGCAACATGGTGAGGTTCTAGCAACCCATCCGCTGAATTCTCTTTTATCTCAGAGCAAAATTCTAACTGCTGCTTATAGTCCAGCTCTAGTTAGCTCTTATTCGTCGCCTATGGAGGCGCGGCACACCTTAATGAGTAATTGCTACCAATTCCAGCAACATAAATGAGCTCTGTGTCTATGTAATTCATGTGGCAGAAGTTGAACATTCCTAGGAAAAAAGAACGAAGTTGCTGTAAAAAAGCTCTATAAAAGTATAAAGTTCTTTTCGGTAACTTCACATTTCTTCTATTCCTACAAACGCTAACACGTTTAGCGGAAACTTCTCACCTTTTACTACAGGGCTTTCGTTAAATAATAAATGAAATACATCTTTTCAGCAAAATAGACGTGCATGAGAATGCGTTTCTTGCCTGCAATCTTCCGAAAAGCAAACTTGAACATAAGTTGTGCGGTTACGGACAATTTTTCGCTGACGGTAAATGCCGATCTGGCAACGTCCGCTATAAACGCCAAGGTATCGCCGGCTCAGGAAGAGTTGGAGACTTTTGCTCATTCAACACTGATTGTCTTACGGTGAGCTACTAAAGAAAGCCGTTTCACATATTTTTCTACAAAATAAGAGTAGTATTTGCCTTTAAAAGGTTGTAACTTTTGTCCATATTTACAACTTTGTCTGTTAGATGTGATGTTACCAATCAGTAGTGTTGCCTTTCTTTTGTTGGAGAAATCTCTTCTGTAACTACGAGATCTTCTATTTTAGACGCTTAAGTCGTTTTTCCACAGTTTGCTTTTTTCGGCGAATTCCATCTCGAAAGTTTCAAGTATGATATTATTTACTCTGACATTGAAATTCAAAGCACTCGAACAGTTCACGGACACAAAAAAGCAATATCGAACACAGTGGAGTAGACGAATTTACACGAGCTTCCAGAATAAGGAAAAAATCATCCTGTAAAATCGGTCGTAATCCCCTTATGTTTGTCAGCTTTTCCATGTGAATCGGTGACAGATTATAAAAGGATTACGGTAATAGAGGACGATTCGCCGTAACTAATCAATTACGATATTTTTAATATGTTGGCATAAAGTGGTTAAGTACAACTCTGAGCTTACAAAGTTTAGTGTTTGAATGGATTTGTCTTTCCTAAGAGCTGTTTTTTGTGGGCGACCTGTTCAAACCCGTGTCAGCTTAAAGAGAACAAACTGTAGCTTATTGATTGTTGCGAATCGTCTTATATTGCCGTGAAGCTCCCGTAGCACATCACTAATTCGGATACAAAAGCTGGTATACTTGAAGGAACAAAAGGTAGAAAAGTAAACAGTTGGAAGAGCATTGGTGAAATTTTAAGGGAGGTGCCGTACCTTCAGCACCATCGTACAGGCTATTGGAGGCATGTTTGGTCTTCAGCGCTTTTTTCTGTCTAACGGGTCTTCTAGAATTTACTAAATGTAGAGAGATGTAGGGAAAGTGGGCTTGGTTTGCTCGGTGGCAGAGATCGAGCCAAAGACCCGTCTGTTTTTCGAGGCACCTCTAACTATTGTCCCCTAAACGTAAAGAGATAATGGTCGAGTGCAACGACTTTTTTGTTCTCTTGGTGTTTATTTTCCTCTTTTTCCTCCAAAAAATTTTGTGAATTTGTCTTTTCAGTGGCCGTTTTTTATTGCCTTTCTTTATTCATACAAGACTGAAAATCTCGTTGTCTGATCGCATGGAGTCAAACTAAGTTAGTAATAAAATTTCATAGGTAAAGAACTGTTTGATCATTTTACAGCCACAACAACGAGTTTAAAAGTCATGAATCGTTGATACTTCCTATTTCCCGTTCGTATGATGCGAACGCTTAGTGAACTCCTTTATGAAGAAGTGGCTGAGGTCATTCTAGAGTGCATTGTAGCAGAAAATTTTAGAAGCTTCGACAGTAGTAGTAATGACGATAATAATTACTCTGACATTTGCGCTCGGAAACAATTTCCGATTCAAAAGGAAAACCTCACAATTGAAAGAAAACCTTGTAATAAACTCATTTAGAAAAAATCCGTTCAAAGTTCTCTTGAAGCCTATTGTAAATAACTTTTACTATGAAAACAGAGAATGTGATTGCAAATAATAAAATAACAGGTTACAAGACTAACAAAGCGATGAGAAATAATAACAAGTAGAAAAAATAATATCAAACATTAATACAATAGTATCTTCCAGCGGTTTACTGCCTCATCGTGGCTGGGAGATGTTCTTGGGTGTCGCACTGAGATGTACAGCGGGGGATTCATCCCCCTGGCAGGATATCTCAAGTTGAGAAGGAGTCCGGCGTTTCCATCAGGAAGCATGGCTAAGAGTAACTATTACCAGGATCCACAACCGTCCTGGTATCAAAGTTGCATGGTGACAAATCTCCTTCTGATCCACAAGGGCTGCGCCTGCTTGTGGTGGGGAAGACCTGGGGCAGACTTTGGCCAGGGTAACCTCGCGATTCCAGGGAACCACAATGGCTTAACCAACAAATCTCCGAAAAAGTTGAGATTATGCTGAGGCCCGCACAACCAATGAGGACGGACCATTCAGGTATCAAGTAAGTAATACACTAGTAAAAACGCGAAGTTTTATATAATATATAAATACTATAAATGTAAGACTGGTAAGTACTGCAGAAATACTTCAGAACCTCCTTTCAGTCCGAGTGTTTATCATTCATTTTTTTAGGGTATGTTCTGTTCTACTGGCTCATGCACTTGCCTGAGCAATTTCGTTGCCATCCAAGGCTACTGCTATTTAAAGAAGAATCCTGGCGAAAGTGGTTGTCAGTACGCCGAACAGTGCACTGCTGTCTGGCCAGAAAGTCGTTGTGAGAAATCACGGTGCGAATGTCCGGAAGACGTGAACGGTATTCCGTACGTACAAGCGAAAACTCGTGACGGTGTCGTTTGTATTCTGCACTCGGGTGAAGACGGTGATCCTGTACCAAAATGTCCACTACCGGAATACGATGACGACCTATTGACGATGCCTGTCTCGCAACTGAGGAATCCGGCGATGACCGATCCTGACGACAGTGACATAGAAATGGGTGAACATATAAATCCGCTGCAGTTCTGTTCGTCTGCATCCGTTGACTACACGACATTCGTAGCAAACGGTGCTGGTGCATGTGTCTATTCACACGATGGACAAGGTTCTAATGGTGTTTACATTGCTGATATCTACGATTGTGTTAGTGCTGTTGAGTCGATGAACAACGTTAAAACCGCCATGGAAGGTACCTATGACGTCAGCTCCGCATCGGATGGAATTTGCTGTCCGAACAGAGGTAGACCATTGCTTCTCTCCTGACAACTAATAATCTCTTGGAAACTTCTCTAAAAGAAAGAATATAGGTGTTCAGTCGAAAAAGGAAATGTGGCAGTTATTAAACGAACCTGAGTTTCCGCTTCTTAGTACTAAAGTCACTTCTATGGGTTACGAGCAAAAAGAATTAAATATTAGCTAATCGCAATGATGCTGAGATATTTGCAAAACTCCGCACTGCAGGTGTCTGTGGTGGGATCGAACACGCTACTATCTTTTCCAGGGGTTTGCGCGTTATTTGCTAAGCACGAGGTATTCGTTTTCTTCGTGTGAGCGTACAATTTTTCAGTACAGAATATGGTCAAAAAAGACTTTAATTCAACACATTCGCAAAAGCGTAACTTTTTTGGGTTCGTTTTCATGATGGTTGTGAAATAAAGAAAAAACTAAGTGTCGTAGCGACAGCATGGAACATCAACGAGTTCTGCCGACCAAATGTTTAGTTGCTTCCTTTCTTGAAAGATATATGGTGCTGCGATAAAAGCGTTAATAAGTCCGTGTGCTCCAGAAAATTGGGATTTCATCTTCATAAAATAGTAATGGTTTTGTTTTATACCTAATGATTCGCAGATTCTAAAGGCTTTTATTTGAATTGAGAAAACTCACCATGGGCTGATCTATATTTGATTAAAGTCGGGAGGCGACCGCAGTGGTACTGAAATCATTACGTGTTGCAGCATTACGCGTCTACAAAGATTGGTTTTAGTCACTAAAGCACCAGTAATTAGGACGCAATACGACGTATTAACCATTTCCAACCGTTATCTATCGAAAGCCAGGAAAATTCTTTATTGATTGTTCCCTCAAAAGCTTAAAGCCAGCAACCACAGTGATGTTAAGATATTTGCAAGACTTAGCTCTCAGTCCAGATTCCAACCCGCGATTAAACCTTTCGGTGGCTCACGAGTTATCTACTCCACCATCGAGGGCCTTGCTTTGCCTTTCTCTCGCCCAGAATCTTGCCTGGCATCTGAGTTCTGCAAATATCCCAGCATTACTGTGGTTGTACTTCACATAAAACCCTGCAATGAAAGAATAATAGGGAATAAACAAAAAGCTATACATTGTAAAATAAAGCCGTTCATTACGTTTAGAACACAGTGTGCTCTTATGCTGTGCAATCCACCAATTCTCCGTCTTTTTGCTTTGCTCATGGAATTCCTGCTTTTCAGCGTTCACGTGTATCCAGCCGAAACGTGAAGCTGATACCGGTTCGACGGCACCGGCTGGTGTACGACCACGCTGGTGGTACAACGCTGTCACCGGCACCTGCGAGCAATTCATGTGGGATCCATGGGATGAGACAGAGATGCAATCACCTAACAACTTCAAAACTCGTGAACATTGCGAGTCTTATTGCAGGGACAGTGAGTTTTCGATTCCTTGCCAGAGCACTTTTCCATTACCTACTCACTTAACTTTCTCATCTGTTTATTCCTTCTCCTTTACTCAAGTTTTCATCTTGTTTGTTATTTTACCTAATCAACTGGGTTACTACCTCATCATAGCCGACGTTGTTTTTCTGGGTGTACTACTACGGTGTCCAGCAAATTATTGGTTTCCTAATAAGCTCTTCCAATCTGAGAACAGGAAGATAGGAAACATTTTCAACCTAACGGTAACCTAAACGTACACCAATGCCATGAATCGAAACCGTCCTAGTAGAAGAATTGTCAAAAATTGACAAAACACTCTCCGATCAACTGAAGTTGCTGCATGGTTGTGAGAAGTTGAAAACAGCCCGGGACGGGTTTCCGGATGTTCTGGGAACAAATTCCACTGAAAAGCACGAAAATCAAATGATGAATGTTCTAAGGACAGCGTAATCCACGATGACACAAATTATCCACGTATCAAGTTATTACCTTCTTCATATGCGATCACCTATTTTTGCGTATTTCTTTCCGTCTTTCCTTTTGCTTTTCTGTAAATTTTCATGAATTCATCACTTATCAAAAATTGAACACGTTCGAACTTTATTTGCCACGCTGCTGTCGGTTACCAAACTAACTCTACTCTTCTTTGTGATGCTTAAAGGTTTGACAAATAAGGACTCCTTACTGTGGGTTATGCATAGGCCAGAAAAAACCTCTTCTAGCAAAAATTGACATTTCATAAAAGTGGACACTTTTCTACTCATTCATAACAATATCAACTTGTGTCAATACAACAATTTGTTGATCGCAAACGTAGAATTTTGTCCGTTCGTGGCTTTGACCGACGGTCAAGTGAGTAAACACTTCCAATAATCCGTTACGAGAGACGCGACGCACACAGCACTTACCCAAATAATCTCCGTCGCTTGTCATCTCGAATAAACTGAAAACAGAGGAAAAATGACTGAGAAAAAACAGTGCGGACACGACATCGTTGTTTTTCCTGAGAGAGAGAGAGAAAGAAAGGGAGAGGAAAAGGGAGAAGGGAGGGAGAGAGAACAAGAGGGAAAGGGAAAGCTCTAGAAAGACGTGGTTTTTGTACAGAACCCGAGAGAACAGTTTCTCCTATAATCACCTTTGCTTCTAGCCTTCGACGCCTTTTGATCTCTACGTAAGGGTTCCTTAAACAATGCGGTCATAGTGGAATCTGCAGTGAAACACCTCAAAAAACTGCCGAAGGAAGTCTTGTAGTAATAGTGAAGTAATTTTTTTATCTCTTCATTTTTAAATAGTGTGCTGATATAGCACTCCTTTCATTCGGTTCCTTGCCTCACATTCGTCATTTACGAAGGTGCTCAGATTTGGACGTAGTTTCGTCCAGTGCTCGAAAAGTTTATACTGTGTAAAAATGTGTCCACGCTTTCCTTTTCAATTTAGCATGGACAAGCAGTGGTTTTCTGTGACAGTGATCAACATGGAGCAACCCAATAGCGTTCAGATTCTGGATACCTATTTGGACACTTGGATGACCCGTCTTCATTGGTTTCGCGGGCTCTAGCATAATTTCCATTCGGGTGGACATTTGTTGGTTTTGCCACTGTAGTACACTGGGACCCCGACATCAGCCTGGCTGAAACATTCCTCAGGTGGTCATCACCGCTTGCAATTGCCACACATTTAGATCAGAAGAAGATTTGCCACCATGCGTCTAGTTTGATACCAGGACGGCGTTGACTCCTGCTATTGGTTTACTGCTAGCTGGGCTTCCGGATGGAGACAACGGACTTCTTGTCAGCGTTAAACGGCTTGCTAGAGAATGAACATCCAGCTGTACATTGTACCCGATACCTAGGAACATATCTCAACCTTAATGAGGCGGTAAACCGTTCGGAAGAGTTTCCGAATAGAAATAATATCGAGCCGTGACGTTGTACAATACTTTTCGTCCTTAATCTTATTTTTACGCGGCCCGACACCAGGTGTTCTGCGGGTTCCAGCACCTCTTGCACTCAGTTCTCTTCTTCGCTTCCATTTTTCAGCAAGTTCTTCAGATTCTTTGCGTCCGTTTGGTTGCATTTGAAAGATTTTCGGTCTTCTTTAGATTGTCATCTAATGCCATTCGACTGATTTCTCTCTAGAACTCTGTGATAAACGAGGCTAGGATGTTTCCACGTTGATCTGAGGAAGTAAACTGGTACGACGTTCATGAACACACCGGTAGGTGGGATGGAGTTGAAGAACCAGGACCAGACGCGTGTTGAATGGCACCACTACCACTTTGCTCTTGCCTACACCATGGTGTCAACAATTCTACAGTGAACTCTCCACTACACTTTTACATATTAAAAATAACTTTTGAGCAGCACCAACTTCACTCCCAATGTTATCCATAATAAAATAACTTTTCGCTTCCTTCGAAAATACGAAAACTAAAAATAACAAAATAAAGTAAAACGAAACAAAATGCTAAAAAATAGAAATAAAAATAAAAAATAGAGTGCTAACTATTTTAACAAAAAATCGAAATTACTTCTTAAGAAACGACGTCATAAATAAATTTGAATTTAAAAAAAGAACAGGGTTGGAATTTGTCGGCCCAAGTTTACAGTGCATTGGTCCGTGTTATTTTCTCTGCTCCTGCAAGTTTACTGAATATGAAAACTAATCACAGTATAATATACACTGTCATTGTTGTAAAAATCATACAAATTAAAACAAATCGATTGAAAGTCATCTTTTCTGTTCTGTACCTTAAAGATTATGGCTTCAGCTTGCAAACGTGGTTCACCTCAGTACGTTACCACGAGTGGTTCACAAAACGACGACGAGCCGATCAATAATTGTCAAACGTCGACGTCATGTACGACGAACTATGAATGCACGTCAATCGGTTCGATGCAGATGTGCTGCCCAACGGTGGCGTCGATTTGTAGCCAAGCTGGTGCTCGACCCTCTGATCCACTACGTAACACGAATTTCGATCCAGGAATGAGCATGAAACGAAGCTACAGTCTCAGCTTTTCCACATCAAACAGGTTCGCTCAACATCGCTGCAGTGCTTTTTTAGCCTTCGTTTTGTTTTCTGCTTCAAAAATGATCAATTGAACACCTCACATGAGGGCAAAAAATAGAATACTACAAAGGATTAGTGTAATGGCGGTGAAATAAACCCAAAACAAACATCTGAATGCAAAAACAGAAACAGGGAGACTCCTTTAAAAGAAGCGTGAAAATTTCTAAGACGTTTAAAAACTCTTATGATACGGCATTCTATAGTCTATAGAACACGTTTTGCTTTTCTTCACAAAGTACTGACCATGGTGGATCCAGAGCAAATTCGAAATTATATTCAAGCCAAATTAAGGGACCGGAAAATTTTCCAATTTGGTCCTCATCTTTAAAAGCACTGTGAAAACCATCTGTTTTATTCTAAGCACATGAGTGGTTGCGACTAGCTGAACCCGCAAATTTAGACGAAATTGTGGCTTTTGTTGTCGTACAACTGCACGTGAATAAAATGAATATTATGGGCCAAAATGTAGCAGTGGTGTTTTGTGCACGTGTTTTATAAGCAATATTTTACCATCGACATAAAGGATCTTGTACTGTCGTGCATTCGGGCACCGCTATTGAGAAGATTATCGTTTTCTGGATGTACGATTCTCATCTAGCAATATCATTTATAGGTTTTGAAGGAATCAGTGCAAGACTCGTTTAACAGTTGTACAATTTTTAAAACAATCCTGTGTTTTCATTCGTTGTCTGGCACACAGTTCACACAGAGCCGTTTTGCAATATACACAAGGTCGCTTGTTCGATCCAGCGCTCCGGGCTCCCCAAGCCTTCCATTTCTCCGAGTTGGGCAAATTGGTGCCAGACTCATCCAGTAGGACAAAAGCACTGACTTGATACATAGCTTAGCTAGTAAAAAGTCGTTGCATAGTCCAAATACGCATTCAGTCTTTTCCACGATTCCTGATGGAGTCCACTGCATAACATCCGTCAGTGATTGATGAGCGCTGAACGCTTTATTCTTTTTTAAGTGCTTTTTCGGATCTCTAGAAAGATTCTAATGAGTTAGGTACGTCTTTATTCATTTGTTCATTTGCACTATCTGTTTATTGTTGAAGATCTTCTTACGGTGTCGATTCTTATTTCGGCATTCTCACTTATCATCTCATTTTGTATTTTAGGTATTCGTTTAGATACAAACTCATGTAAATTCGTTAACTTAACGAAACTCATGAATGTTACCTCTGACACCGATCTTCAACAAGTCCTCGAACTCTGTCACTCTGTGTAGAGCGCATCAATCGTCAGCGACCTCATATATGTTTAGCAAGTCATGAGAAGCTCCATAATCAACATGTTCATCAAAGAATGAGCATCAATGGAAACTATTATTATGGTACTTAACAATGTTACTGTAAATTAAGGATTATTGTCAAATGCTGACTTAGATAGCCACAACTCCACTTCCGATCCCTCATAGGAAGCACTTAGATACGTTTGGAGTTTTTATCTCTTCTAGAATCGACTGAATAGACAGACATTCTCCTACACCATCAATCGAGGTGATCGCCGTGGAGAGAAGAAACAGCTGTGTTGTTTATATCATTGCTACGATCAAAGAGCATCTTCATGTGCTACAGTTGGCAAGCACTCCACTAAGATGGACCAACAAAAAGGGAAAAAAACAAATAAAACGGAAATTCTTCTGCATGTTTCTTGAGAAGCTGTTCTTGATGGTTGGTGACTATGGCGTTTCGAAGGTTTTCATGGTTATGGACAGTGTAACGTTCCCTGACTGTGAATGGTTTTGAGCACTTTTTAAAGGACTTGGTCAAAGAATGCTCCATATGCATATTTATTTTTATTTCTTAAACACGTTCTAGAAAACGCGCCCTACGAAGGATTGGAAAATGAGTAGCATCAATTCGTACCCCTAAGGCATGCCTAAAGTATCTTAAGTCCTTCATTTGTTTACCCTGTCGCTCTTTGACACCGCGGTCCTTCTACCTGACAGCCACACCAGTGAAGTAGCGGTTTAGGTTTTATGTACTCTATAATTCATATAATAGTGAATTCTCAAAACTCGATATTTATCGAAAAATGGTTGGTCGGTAAGACAGTCTAAGAGTCTAGTAATTATCTTTAGTTCAAACTGTTTTAGATACTATTACGACACTGAACAAGGTCGTTGTATTGCTTTCACCTACAACGGTGCTCTCGGCAATTTCAATAACTTCAAATCGGCTGCCGATTGTGAGTTGTTCTGCGCCAAACTTCAATGTAAGTACGGTACACCGCTGAAGATTGGAGCCACCAATCAACGCTGTAGCAGCAATACCGACTGTCCCAGCACGCACGAATGCCAGAGCGATCACAACGTCTGCTGTCCACGACCACGTAAGTCACGTGCATTACTCTCTTTACGATACCACCCACATGCGTCTAACAACATTCTTGGAATTTTCGTCTACCCAGCCTTAATGTTGTAAGTCAGCGGGGACCAAATTTCGAGAGAAAAGAACTCACTATTGACGTTTCTTTTAAAAACATTTAACGCATAGGTCACCTGTCGTACCTTTGCTCTCGTGAATCATCGTGAATCATCGAGTAGCTTGGGCATACCCATGTAAAGTCTCCATATATCTCCTTACACAGGATACACTTTTGGACTCGTCTGTCCTTTCCGCCTAAAACTAATGAACTTTCAAATAGATCGAGAGTGTTCCATCCATTTCGATGACTGCAAAAAAAGCCAACTGAACGAAAAAAATGCTCTATCTTCAACTATTCTGAGTATCTTACAGATGTTTTGCTGCAATCCCTTTCCTTTTCTGAACACTTCTTTAACCACTGGAGCTTTTTCAAAAAAAAAGAGAAGAAGAAGAGACAGTTCGCTGTGTTGTTTTGGAGAATTATTTATTCATCCTCTTCTATTTTCACCGTATACTTTGATTCGGTTACTTCGAAATTTTGGAATGGTTCATTAACTTATGTTTCCTTTTCTGGAGAAACTTTTAGTACCATTTTGTTGCGTTCATTTGGGCTCCTCTCCTGATGGCACTAGTACCAAAAGAATTCCATTTTCTTTGTTATTTATTCTACTGCTCCATACTAAATTTCTGCCTTATATATTTAAAGTTGTTTATCAAACTGAGTGGATTGTCGAGCAACTCGTCCTCGCTATGATGTAAGCTTTTTCTAGCAACATACTAATAGGTATATGTGTCAAAGAAATCAGCCATTAGCAAAGAAAACATATTTGCTTTTCTAAAATCTCTTAATCTTTAACAATAAGAGATGGTGGAAGTAAGCCCTAATTCATGGTATTAATGTCGCTCTTGTGTCCACTTGAAGCAAGTGAAAGTGCCCGTCGGCTATGTCGTGTCGATGTCGTCAATTCAGTGATATTGTGCGTGTTTGCAGAAGCGATTTGTTCACAACCGTTACGATTGGGTGACTGTAAGCAGAGCGTGCGTCGCTATTGGTATAACGCTGTGACGAGAGCGTGTGAAATTTTTGACTATACCGGATGTCAGGGTAACGATAACAACTTCGAGACGTTACTCGAATGTCAGAATACCTGCGAGAATATCATTCGTAAGTGGATTTCCTTTCTTTTCTCAGTTTACTTCTTCTCTTTTCTCAGGACTATGAATAAGTCGAGATGCTGTGGAATTAAGTAATCAGGCGTTAGAATAGTCTTTAGGACTTCTTAACTTCCTCACTCCTATGCTGTTCTAGTTCTAATTTAAACCCATACACTACCAGAATTTTGCAACATCATGATTGGTCGGTGAACATTGCAGATTGTTCCCAGGATCGACTTTCTATTAACCTCGGCATTGGAATATGAATGTGTCGTTTTCTTGTTCAGCAATCGCGAGGTTTTTAACCAGCATACATTTACTTCCATAGAAAAACACAATACAATACAACGCTAGCTGACGTTTCGGCAGTATCGCCTTCTTCAGAGCCTGGAAGGGTATACTGATGTGCAATCTACTAGGCCAAACGCTTCAATAACACTTACACAAAGACGAAAGACTCTTTGGTAATTACATGATCAACTTGTGACTTGTGAAGGAAGCATTGTCACTAAGGCAGAAGATTGTCTTCGCTAGACAGCAAATCAACTTTCTCCGCCGCCGTTTTCAACATCGAGTCGTGCCGAAGTTTATAAAACGAAAGCGACTTGACGAGATGTGCGGTCAACCAGAGAGCAGCCAACAAGTACGAGGCATCGAAATGGAACTACTTCGAGCTGCACTACGAAGCAAGCAGAACGAGATGCTTGCCAGAATGAAGAAGTGTGCAACGAAGGAACATTTTTGTGCTTTGTATTTGGAGGATCGCCTTTGGAGGAGGATAGTTGGTGGGTCAATATTGATATGCGATTTTATTAGATCTAATGCCAAAATAACCTTACAACGGAAATTCGAAAGCCTGTTGGGTAATTCACACGTCTCAGCTTCAAGAAACCGCAAACGAATTCCTTACGTTTCTGATAATAGTCAAAATGGGGTTGAAAATGCACCAAGAAAATCTAGGGTCACCGTGATTGGGGGCATAACAATACCTGAGAATGCGCGCTCGCTATTAGAATTGGGCCCAAGTTTTGCACCATCACAGCCCATTTGTAAAACGACCCTGCGTAGGATAGCATGCAGCCTTTATGAGCTTCAAGATCGACTCCGCTATCAGGCCAAGCAAGAAACATCAAATAGAGATAAAAATAAAGAGAAGGCGACGCTATCACCATCTCCTTTCCTTAAAACGTTTTGAGACAGCAGGACCCTAACGGTGGACCTGACATAAAATTCCGCGTTTTCGGACGGACGGCGTTCTCAAGACTCTTAATCACTACCGCAATAGAAAGTTTCTCTCTAACCTTACAGCCGCACAAAAATGTGGTATGCGAGAAATTAGAGAACTAGTAAACTCGAAAACAATAAGATTGTCTGTTAGTGATAAGGGGGGAGAGTTCGTAGTTATCCCTCGCCGGCTGGATGTTGAGATAACAGAGGAACACTCTCTATCGATCATCCTCTGAAAAGGAATATAAAAGTCAATACCGAAAGCTAAACAATCAATGGGTCAGTGTGGCAAAGGCTGCGGGTTTCAAATCATCAGTTATTTCGCACTTTAAAATTGATAGACCAACATTTCCCGTCCTATACCTACTTGTTAAAACATATAAGTTGGTATCACCTGATGATCATCCGTCAACGAATCCGTCATCATTTAAGATTAGACCGATCATCAGCTGTGTAGACGGGCCGACGGATAGAATAACCTGGTTTTTAAGCCTGATACTTAACCACATTCCAGCTCACCTCACAAGCACCCAAATGTTCCTAGAACGTCTACGTAACGCGTCTCCTAATAACGCGTACGTGATGGAGTCTTTCGACGTTACCGCACTGTACACCAACGTGTCGAATGACTCTGCAATGCAAGCCATCTTCAAACTTCTTGTTAAACATGAAGGAAGAATAAATATGCATGGCTTGTCCATCCAGCAGCTAATGGCTCTCTTAAGGGAGTGCCTAAACTGCTCGATTTTCAGATGGTCTGGGAAATATTTCGCACAAATGAGGGGGTTGCCAATGGGACAGCGACTGGCACCAAGCCTTGCCATTGTGTTTATGTCTAAGATAGAAGCCCCTGTTCTCGATCTCCGGCCACTACCTTACTGCAGATATGTAGATGATTGTTTTGTCGTTTTCTCTACACAGGAGGACATAGACAAATGCTTTGAATTATTGATCGAGCAGTCCGAGTACATAAAGTTCACCCGGGAGAAACCAAGAAAAAACTGGCTTCCGTTTTTGGACGTTCAAAAAAACCTATCAAGTAGCGGTTACCTGACAAAGTGGTATCGAAAGCCAAGTAAAAAGAACATTCTTGTTCATTTCCTTTCTTCCCACCCTTCACACACAAAGAGGGCGATTGTGAGAAACGTGTTTCGAACAGCCACCTCTGTGTGCACTACCAGGAAACTAAAGGATGAATCGCGCGACTTGGCTCGGCAAATAGCCATCTCCAATGGCTACGAAATAGTAACCCCACGAGATAAGTTTACAAGGAGAACGACGCGCCCACGCGAAACACTTGGCCAAAACAAAATCCCGTTTATGTTGCCTTTTATAAGCGATGAAGTAAGCGTAGCTATAAAACGATGCTTAAGAAGGGCAAGTCTAGAGGAATCGGTAGCGATAGTTGAAATACCACCGGCTACTCTACGTCGCCAATTAGTTCGCAACCGCCTGTATGACCGTCTGCGTGAAACAACAAATTGCGTAATTTGCCCTTACGGCAAGTACGGTGATTGCATGAGTTCAGGTACGATATACCTGATCTCTTGTAATAATTGCGAAGATGAATATATTGGCGAAACGGACAGACCTTTGTGTATCCGTATAAAAGAACACCTAGGTGGCAAACGAAAACTAAGACGAAGCACCCCACTAGGCACGCATAGGATACAAAAGCATAGCGGAGACGATTTTGAAGATAAGGTCAATATCCTTGCACAGGAGTCCAAAACACCAGCACGAAAACTTCTTGAGGCTTTTTGGATCAATGCCAAAAACCCTACAATGAATAGCAGGGACGAATGCCCGGAGGTCATATGCGACCTGATCCCGTACGTTCGCATCGATTTTTGATGTGGGATGGTGTAGTCGTCAACCACATGCGACTATAATCAGCTGTTCTAAACTTCCTCATTGGAAGTCACGAAAAAGCGGCGGCTCTGAAGAAGGCGATACTGCCGAAACGTCAGCTAGCGTTGTATTGTATTGTGTTTTTTTATGGAAGTAAATGTATGCTGCTTAAAAACCTCGTCATTGCTGAACAGGAAAACGACGCATCGCAGATTATCTAGAAATGGGAAGAATAGGGTCTAATGTGGTATTTTTAACACATTATTTTTATTTTTAACACATTATTTTTATTTTTACATTGTCTAACAACACATATTGCGCGAATTTCGGCACTTCTTTCATTCGATTTGTTTCCCCGCATCCATTATTCTCGAAAACCTTCAGATTGGCGTTTGGGTGCGGCTGTTGTTTCAACATTTTTTTCGCCTTTCTTTACAGATAAATTAATACAACGTTATTTGCTTGTTACATCATTATCGAGAAGCCTTAATATCCGCTTCCACCACAGGAAACGCCACTGTGGTGGAAGAATGCGAATCGCATGGGAGCAAACCTCGCCCCTGCACAGCTGCGCCCACTACCTGTGGTAATCATCCCGGAGCGACTTAGCACCGTAATCTTAGAACCCCCGTGTTGATCACGCTTGACCAGCACTAACCATTTCAATGAGAATAGTGAAGAACAGCAGAATCCACGCGCAAATACGATCACGACAGTGGACGACGGTTTCAAGAGGAAGGAAAGAATGGAAGAAGTGCTTAGAACCGCTTAACATGAAAATATGGATGGCCTAAGTATTTAAGCATCGTTAACGTATTTACGAAGAATATTCTTTATGGTCAGGTGATCTTCTATGCTTTCTAACTCACGGAAAAGATCCTCATAAAATTTTAACAACTTCGGCTGGTAGCCCGAAAACGAAATTGGTGCACACATAGGCTACCTTAGGAAATTTTTTATAATGCATCATGACATTTCCAAAGCTACCTGGAGCTAATATGCTTATGCCAAGAATTATGATTTGTGAAGTGTCAAGCGTCTTACGCGCTCTAACCGACGATAAATTCCAGCCGAGGTGAGATTTGCATTTCGTGAGTCAACATTCTCTATGACCTCTCTTAATAACTTGAAAACCTATCGATGATGCGATTGCTATTTAGATTATTTCAGTTCCAAAATTAATCTTTCGGTTTTTGTAGATCACATTAACTATAATATCTTTCAGTAATCTTTTCAAGAGATTGAGTTCAAAATTCATTAAAAGTTGTCCACGGTTGTTTTCTTAAGCAAAAATCACCTGCTTGTTGTTGTGATGGTGATGTTCTTTAAAATCACAGCAATCTTAGGATATAGGGTTAGGCTCACGGGCTTAATCTCTATATCACTCATTCCATCTGTCCTCCTTCGAGTGAAGCGAGCAAAATCTCCTCCATTCGTCCCTGTCGAACGCCACTGTTGCCCAATTGGTTCTGATCGTTAACAAGACACAGAAAGCGTTATATTTTTGGCCAACATAGGCTCCTTCTTTAATAAATCTAATTATTAAATAAAATTTGGAAATTCTCTGTACTTTAGCCGAGCCACAATGTCCTCAAGGCGATGCCTACAAAGACTATCAAGGAAACTACTACGTGTGCTCGAATTCTGGCGCTGGGAATTCGTGTCCCGTCAATTATGAATGTTACTTTGACGGTTATGTCTGGGGTTGTTGTCCAACTAAAGGTACGATTTCATTGAGCAATTTTCATCATATATCAAGAACCTCGAGAACTGCTTAGAGATTGCATCCATGCCGTAATGAAATAATATTGACTTTCTTTTGTAAAGTGTCCTTTTTAAACTAACTTTCTTCCTCGTTGCACTCTATAGGTAATATTATTCGAAAAGATTAGTTCATTTAAAGCGTTTTGAATACTGGCGCCTTAATCAATAGCATTTCGAATCGTTCAGTATAGCTCTTTGCAGCTTTTTTTCCACCTGTCTTTCCACCTGTCCTGTTCCACTGTACTCGTAGACTTTTCTAATGCCACTGATACACCCTGTATTATGAATAACAAAAATCGAAAAAGAAATACTTTTAATTAACTAGAATATCAAATATTTGATTGGGAACACTTCCAAAGAAAACTCAAAGCTGGCATGAGATCTTCATACTCAATAATTTCTCAACTTTTTACTTGTTCCTCTCTCTGGCCGACTGACTATTTTTGACTTTTTACTTTAACTCCTTGACCACTTTTTCAAACAGACGCATACAATTTTTATATAGGTATATTAGTTAGAAGAGCATAGAAATCTGTAGTCTACAGTGTCTGTGTTTCAGCATACACGTGCACTCTTTCTCCTCATAAAGGTGTCACCTGCGGTAGCGGCTCATCCTATCGATATTTCTACAACAGCCAAACACAAGAATGCGAGAGTTTCCAGTACAATGGATGTGACGGAAACTCGAATAACTTTGCCACCAGAGAAGACTGTGAGGGTTACTGCAGCGTTGGAGGTTGTCCGTCCGGTGGCACACCTGAACGCAACGAATTCGGCCAGTTAATGGTGTGTTCGGCTAGTCAAGTATGCCCGACAACACACGAATGTACATCAGTGAATTCTGGCAGCTCTGTGGTCAATCGTTGTTGCCCTACCAGATCCTATATTTGTTCACTACCCCCTCAACAAGGAAGTTCGTGCTCATCATCGGCAGCATCTCGATTCTATTTCAACATAGTAACAAAGGAATGCACACAGTTCACCTATAACGGTTGTAGTGGAAATCTTAATAATTTCCCCACTCTCGAACAGTGCAATAATTTCTGTCTGTCGGCCGCTTGTACACCCGGTGATGTCGCCTATGTGAATCCGAACACAAATATGCCGTATGAATGCAACGCAGCCCTCAGTAACAGTTGTCCGAGTAATTTCGCCTGTACCTATGATCAACTGTCCGGTACCAGTGTATGCTGCGGAGCAACGAATATGGGTGGGTGCTTATTATTGTATTTTGATCCTTAATTTCTTTTGAAGGGCACTTTCGCACTTATGTATGGAATAGGCCGTTCATGGTTTCTGTATCGCGCATAACGTTACGAACCTAGGCGTCCCACCGCCTATATAAGTACAAAACGGTGGAATTGTTTGTCTGTTTAGAAGCACGTGCTAAGCCTTTCATGGGAAGAATTACATCGCCACTTTTCTCATCGTCTAATTTATAGTAAATCTCCTGCTATGTGGTAAATTAAGTTACTAGAGAAATGAACACGATGTAGGAACTCAACCCTCCCTATCCACAGAAGCTTGCTCATTTTTCCTTCACAAAGCTAGAAATGTTTCATCTGAGATATGCTATACGAATATTGCGCCAAATCTGTCACTAAGCTTCACTTTTTCGAAATGATGTCAAAAATCATCATCGCACTTCGAATAATCCTCTTTATTTTCTATTCGGGCACAGTAGAAACATTAACTCTATCCTATGATTCCTCCGGCATCTTCGATCTGCCCTTAGCCTACTATCCGATAACTGGGCACCCATCATGTAACGTTTCGATTTGCCGCTATCTATAGGTTTCTCACATAAGAAGATTCGTAGGTGAACTATTTGTTAGCCGTCTAATAATTTATAGGAATTAAGAAAACTGTAGAAAAAATCTAAAATGATAATTTAACGTATTATTTACTGCCTATTCTTTTTAACGGCAGGGTATACATTGTGAAATATAACTTCAATGATGCTGAGATATTTGCAAAACACCGGACCGCAGGCGTATGCGGTGGAGAACGAACACGTTCTGTTGTCCTTACCGGGAAGCAGCGCACTTCACCACCCACACCATCCGGGTCCTTCGTTTTGCCTGTCTCTCAGCTAGTTCTATCGATCTTTTGCCATCAGCAATCACCCGTCTACGGGGATTGATCTGAGGGGCCCAAATCGGCAACGAACCCAGTTAAGCTGAGGCCGCAGTTATAATCACAATTTAACGTATTATTTACTGCCTATTCTTTTTAACGGCAGAGTATACATTGTGAAATATAACTTTAGCTGAGAGACAGGCAAAACGAAGGACCCGGATGGTGTGGTGGTGAAGTGCGCTGCTCCCCGGTAAGGACAACAGCGCGTGTTCGTTCCCCACCGCATACACCTGCGGTCCGGAGTTTTGCAAATATCTCAGCATTGTTGAAGTCTAAAATGATATTTTGTTAGACTTCGTTAAGAATACATCGAATAGTGAAAAATGGCGAGTGATCTTTGATTCCAGAGGTTTGCCCTGAGGGTGAAAAGGCGTATGTGAATGCAGTGGATATGAGCGTTCGTGAATGTCTGATTAACGTCGAAGGATCGTGTCCTAGTAACTATTTGTGTCGCTTCAATGCGCTTAAGAACCGCTACTACTGCTGCGCCTCTATTACGGGTGATCTCTGCCCGACTGGAAAAGCACTCTATCGCGAACCGTCTTCAAAGGCACCCATCAGGTACGGTAGAAAGGCATGAAATTGGCGTGGTTCTACTTTAGAAGTCAAAAGAACACGTTCAAAAATATTAGTTATGAAGCACAGTTTCATTCTTTGGAGAAGGCGGTCTATGTAAACTAGGCAGAATTCAGAACTTGAGGAGCTCATTATTCTTACTGTATGGTGAACCTTTCCAGTAATTGAAGTTGGTGGGTTTTCGAAGTAGGAAGTAAGTGGGTCGGAGAGCACGAAAGTGGGTAAACGAAAGAAGAAGCTAGTGTAAGTTGAACAATCTAAATATATGTTCGTTTGTCATAACGAGGTTATAGGAAAGCTGGTTTTTGAAGGAAGTTTACATGAGCTTTGAATTTATTCGAAGTCGCAGATCCATCATTCCTTGTATCCTAGGATCCATCTTTTGATCTATTTTTTGCCTGGTTAGCAGTTTTATGCCATAAATCATCGAATTTTAGGTGACTTTACGACAGTCAGATTGTTGAGTAATGCCTGGTTGCAGATGCACAATCAGTAGTAGCAGTAATCAGTGTCCGACCAGCTATTCTTGTCAGTCAGACGTCCCGGGTGCGTTCCAAGGTTATTGTTGTTCGGCCAGCTATCTGTGCCCGAACAAATCTGAGTTCTATCTGGAGGAGAGCAATCAAATGCCACGATCGTGTACTGTGGGAGCATTCATCACCTGTCCTAATGGTTACAACTGTCAGAGCACACAAGCCGAATTCACCACAGGATATTGCTGTAAAGGAGAAGTGGCATCGTTATCGGGTGAGTGATGACTGAATGAGTGCTTTAGTTGTTCGAAAAAATGCATTAATATAAAGAAAGGAAGGAAATGAACAACTCTTACTATCATTTCTTAACACATACCGAACTACGCCTAATTTTGTTTGGCCAACCGTTTGGGACTGTACCCATTCTTCCGCCACATGCGATGTGCACTTATAAACTCATCCAAGTTTTTTGTAGATTATTAAATCTAAGAAATATCTTTTCACTGACGACATATGGTCCAATATCTGTATCGGATAAGACGTCGATGAAATACGTAAATTGCTGTAAGTAAACTCTGTGCATCAACAGAACAAACAGTCGTGTAAAACATGCATTGACTTCATTGCAGATTGTCTTGTTGATTATCATTGACGTTAACAATAACATTGGTTCACATAGCCTAGAAACTTGCACTTTATACCACTTGTTTTACTTTTGTTTGTTTTTTTTCAGACGGTTGCCCACCAAACGAATTTGTCTACATGAAGGACAACCAGATCGCTCCTTGTGACCCGTTCAATCCACCAAACGCACCCTGCCCAAACGGCTATTCTTGTCAGTGGTCACTGGCTAATCAACGCTATCAGTGTTGTGGAGCAACACCTATCAGTACACCAAAATCCGTTACCGCGCTCGGTTGTCCTAACAATCAAGTTGCCTATAGAGACGTTGCTACCAATACGCCAAGAATATGCACGGCTGCATCACAGAATTGTCCAATCGGTTATTTCTGTCAATTTTCAAATGTGAACAATCAATTCCAATGTTGTGGAATGGCTGGAGGATGTCCGAATGATTCTGTGGCGTTTATTGGAATCACTGGCGAACCACAAAATTGCGCCATAGGTCAAAGTAGTTGTCCCAAGGGATACTCGTGTCAAAGGAGCATCACAGGCGCCCAGCTATGCTGTACCACCAACGAACAAGGTTCCTAAACACTGACTTTTTTACGTTTTGTTATCAATTAAATTATTTTTCTAACAGGCAGATTTGCTGTAGCCACAGAGTTATAGCTCAAAATGAGTAAGAACTCAGATATATGCGGTCCTATTTTCGCAGCTTTCCTACCGTATCAGTGTTAAGGTATCTCCCCAGTTTTTTTTGGATTAAAACCATAGATGAGCTGCTAACACATTCGCAACTACATGGGTCACATATAATATGGCCAAATAAGGTATATAAGTTCTAGTATGAGATCATCTTCTTTTCACAACTCGTATTGTTCTCAACATCGAAACGGAAATTTCGGAACCTTTGAATTTTTGCTTTAAAAACTTGGATTATAAAGAGATGTAAAAGAAAAGATATTATAGATCAATAATCTAAGAAAATAGATTACATCTGCTCTAAAAGTCTGGCTTACCGATAAGCAGCACAAAACCGAAAGGTTGCGGCATGTCGAAGAATGTCAGCAGCTCGGGCGTCGCGCCGAATACCTGATTGATTCCTTCAGCGCTATAGGCTCAGTTGAATGGTTAAGCCATGCATGAGGGGTTCAGTTCAAATGAAACTGCGAACGGCTCATTAGAGCAGATGTAATTTATATTGAAAAACTGCAGTAATCTAAGAAAATATTGATCATTCTTGCCAAGGTTAAAAGAAAGTTGGTTTTTAGAGCACAGAAGGTAACATTTTACAAAAATCGTATGTAGTTTTAGAGCGACAAAACAAGGTTACTTTTGTGTATTTCTCAATGTCGACTTTCATTTCACCTCACTATGAATAATCAGTCTGCTACTGTATCGATAAATTTGCAAAAGATTATGTCAAGAACTTTTATGCTGACTTTGCAAGAGCAATGGACCACAGCCGCTGTTATCAACCAGCTCGAATCATTGCGGCTCTGAAGAAGGTTAAGACATGGAAACGTTAGCCAGAATAGAGAATTCTTGGTAGCAATTTCTTGCAGAACCATAATGATGCTGAGATATTTTTGCAAAACTCCGGACCGCAGGTTGTGGAGATAAAACCTATTATTACCCTTTCTGGGAGCTAACGTTTTCGCCACTACACCGCGCAAGTTCTTCGTTTGGCATTTCTCGCAGCCGTGTTATTGATCACTTATAATCTCTTGTAGATTTGTCGATACATCGATATATCTTTTCTGAGTCTGTGTGATAGAATTCCACGGGCGCGGGTAATCCAGTTATCGAGAAACCTGTATTGTTGCGATTATGTTAAAAATCTGACAGAATCTATGATGTATTTAAATGGTTACTGTGGTATGCAATCAATAACGTTTCATCCGAATCAAAGTTTCTTTTTGGGAATTCTGTTTGAGAAGAAGCTGTTCAAAGTAAGGGAGAGCGCCACGGCCATTGCACCAATATTAAGTTATGTAAAGCATCAGTGCGCTTGACTTTTCTTCCTGAAAATCCTTGAAATTATCTTCTATGTATGGTCTTTAATTTCCTTAACCCTGGTATCTTCTTCTAATGAATTAAGATATACATTTATTTCAGGGTGCTCTGAAAAACAGGTATCCGTCAATGGTCGGTGTGTGAATCGTGTTTCGATTGGCGAGAACTGTATTGACCAGCTACAGTGTCCTACTAGTACAATATGTAAAAGCGGTATTTGTGAGTGTCCCGAAATGCAGAAATATGTGAACGGCGTATGTCAGACGGAATGCAGTGACAACGAGGTGAACGTAAAGGGCACCTGCCTACAGAAAGCGGAAATCGACGAGGAATGCGAGGCTGATGAACAGTGCCAGGGTGGTTCTATATGTGACGATGGCATTTGTGCTTGTCAAACCGGTGAACAAAGAATGAATGATGTCTGCATTAAGAAAATCCCTTCACGTAAAGTGCCGAAATGTCCTATTGCCGGTCAAACACCGTATATCGATAGACGTACTATGAAACTGAAATTTTGTGAACCTACTAGGAACAGCTGCCCACGCGGTTACAGTTGCCAGTTCTCTGAGGCCGTCCAACAGAGCATTTGTTGTGGCGGCGACAATGGTGGCGGTGGTGGTAGTAGTGGTGGCGCTAGTACGACAAGTCCTCGCTTCTCAAAAATCACCGAAACAGGGGCACCTAATCCCGATCCAGACGAAATCGTGCACCCTTTAACGGCCACATCCAGCAGCGAAGCTTGCGAGAAGGGTTCTGCTTACCTTATGAACGGCAAACCAAAACAGTGTACGAGCAGTCCATGCCCATCCGGTTACAAATGCACATTCTCCAAAGCCAAAAAGAATTACTATTGTTGTTCGACCTTCACTTCCACTCATGGATGTCCATCTGGTGTTCCGTTACTTTTCCCTAGTACTGGTACACCAGTTCAGTGTACAGGATCGACGTCGTGTCCTGCTGGATACAGGTGCATACGCAGCACCACTACCAAACGATTCCAATGCTGTTCGATAGGTGATAACAGCGTCAGAAGACCGCAGCCAAATAATCGAGTCGTCAACAATAAGAACAACGGCAACAATGGTGAGAATTTGCATATTTTATACATTTTTTTTTATACATATGCAGATTTTATACATAAAGACTTTAAAACGTTGACCAGTTATATCCAGACTGCAATTTTAACAGAATTTAAACACAAAGCAGCACAGAAGCAAAATTCTGCCAAATTTGAATTATATGGCAGCTTTATGTTTCTTTCACCACTCATTCGTTCCATAACGGATGTTCGGTTATTAAAAAGAAATTCGGTATCCTTAAAATTCAGTATATTTAGTGCGTCATTTCCTTCCACATTATAGCCGTCAACAGTTCAGAACTTCCAAAAGCTTGTACTAGTTTTTAAATGTTCTTGCTGACTGAATCTTTTCGAAAGCCATCCGTCATATGAGAAGGGCGCATGTGGCGCAGTAGTCGGAGGCGCCCTGCGACTCGCACACTGCGTCGATAGGCCATCGCAAGTCATTGTAAAGGCCAAACGATGCTTAATGAAGTCGAATGCACGGCGCATCCCTCAGGGATTGATCAACGCCGAGAGCTTCACCCTTTTTATCCTTCTATTTTCTATGAGACGGAATTCGTTGTGCTACTTTATGCACTTCCTCAGAGAAATCAGGGTGAAGTAATGAACTCTACAGATTTGAAACGTACAGTAGGATGATAAATACCACTGCTATATAACCAACCTACGAGTAATGAAATCATGAATGTATGTTCAATTGAGAACTCTCAATCAGATCCGATTAGGAGCAGCCATCGATTTACACTCAGTCAGATCTGTTATGAGTGCTCGAAGGCACTAATGCAATCGGATCTGATTACGAGTATTCGTGAATTGGATTTCAAGGATACCTTGATAATCGTGGTGTGTGTTTAGGACCTTGTCCGAACGGCCTGGTTCAAGTGTTACGAATTGTTAACGAACGTATTGTGAAGAAATGCGAAACATCCTGTCCACCACATCAAATCCCCGTACGTGGTGTTTGTCGTGACAGATATCATGCTGATGATCCAGTAGCCATCAACAAATTACCGTAACCACCGAAGGCAATGTGCTTCAGTTGTGTAAGCTGTTCTTCTCAGTTCTTTTACTGATCAGCAATTGTTTTGACGTAGGAGGTGATGATGTTTGGAGGCATAGAACCCCACCAGTTTTATTCATATATTAATTTATATGTTGTTGTGAATGATTTTGTTTCGTTACATGCTGGATTCATGTTCAAGCTAAACACGATTATATTTTCGAAGTTTCAAAGAAACCTTCCTTTTTCCTATCTATTTTCATAGTGTATAAAAATTCGATTTAGCCATGACCATTTAAGATTACCGCATTCAAAACATTAAGTCGCAATAAAACTAGTGCTTTAAGACGCTGGCAGAATACATCTCAGTGAAAAAGAAGCTTTGATCGAAGAGAGACCGGGGAAGCTGGTACGGACTCGATTTCAAGCATTTCACTCCACCATGTTTATTTAATTGGTGGACTTCACGATTTGTACGGGATTTACGCTACTATCACTTTTCCCTTACAGCTGACGTTCATTAAAATAGTTAGCATTGTATGCCATAATATTAGTGGTTTTGGAAAAATCTGCTTTCCAAACGTCTGAGCGGAACTTCCAGAGCATGCTAGAATCAGGCATAGATATGTTCTCGTAGACTGATCTCTCTTACTCCGTCGTTGAAGCTTCCGACGAGTTTTTCATCCTGCGGATCATACCATTAATCTTTTCGCCAATCGAATCTCTTTCACTTTTCTCAGCTTCGTGAGCTGGCGAACAACAGTTGATGAATCAGTTCTTAATTTCACGTGGTGACTAAAAAGCTAAGACAGTTCGACAACGCGACGCTACTTCATCTATGTTTAAAAAAGCTGTAATAGACGTCCAACCACAGAACTTATATAATCGATATTTCATCAAGCCCTCCTTACACTATGTTGGCGTTTACCGCTTTTCTTCTCCGTCTTCTGAACGACGATCGCATAAACTTTCTAGCAGTATTACCACAAAATCTCACATTTACGTAGTCTTTCCTCACAGCTACCGCCGAATGTAGCAGACTTGTGAAGTGAGATCTTTTAGAACCCAACATTGTACATAATGAACGCATGTTTTTCTTATTTAAATAAAATATTTCCGAACGGTTTACCGCCCCATCCTGGTTGGGACGTGTTCCTGGGTGTCGGGCTGAGATGCATAATGGGGACTTATCCTCACAGCAGGATCCCCCAAGCTGAGGAAGAGTCCGGCGTTTCCATCAGGAAGCCTGGCTAAGAGTAAACCAATACCAGGATACACCACCGTCCTGACATCAAACTAGTCGCATGGTGGCAAATCTCCCTCTGATCCACAAGGGCAGCGACTGTCTGTGGTGGTGGCGACCTGGGGCAGACTTTGGCTAGGCTGACCTCGGGAATCCAGTGAACGAAAATGGAGATTATGCTGGGACTCGCAAAACCAGTAAGTATGGGCCATCCAAGTATCCAAATATTAAAATTAAGTAGCTGTTATTGCAGTATCTGAGAACGGCTCAAGGTAGATAATTACAAGTCCTGAAAATTCAGAAACTCTGACAGTTGGCCCCTCAATTCAAGCAAAACCTAATAATTTTGAAAAAAGGAAACCCGAAAACCATGTAATATTATACCTTCTGGATGGCCTTATGTTTCGATGTTTATTAATCCGCTAATAAAAGGTAACATTTCTATGACCATGATCACAGTCAATTTCCGAATAAACAATCACAATTACCACTTATCGTCATATAATCACCCTCCTCTCACAAGTAATTGATACCGTAGTTAGATTTACTTAACGTTCACAGAACTCAACAGTAAAAGCAGTATGGAAAATTTCTATAATAGAAAAATAAATAAATAAATAATAAATAGAAATGAACGGAAAAACCTTTACATCTGGGACACTTTTTGATTTGAAAACATGAGGAAGCAATGGAAAACCGTAGAAAGCATCTTCAAAGCTACAAATCGAGCTTCTGAACAAGTGATGCTGGAAAGTCAGTCCTCAGTTGGAGCACCTTGACTGCATCTGCGGCCGGTAATACACGTGCTATGGAAGACACTCTTGTTGTATCTCTCAGTTCAACTGCTTCTTCCAGATTTTCAACGTTCAGAAGAGCGACTATCTGAACACATTTAACGAATACAGGCGGGATGTGAGAAAATAAACACGAAAAACAAATGAAGGACAAAAATGCGAGAATACTTAAATACCTGCATTCAACGTGAATGGTTGCAAGCTTAGATTTGAGCTGCGAAGGTTAAAATATTAGAACATTTTAAAAACGTTCTTTTCCAGCATACGTAAATATCAATTTTCCTTTGACCAATGCTATGTAAGTTTTATAAATTACTAGAGAGAATTTCAATGACATTCGTCTTCTATAATCTTAATTCTGTTAATCGTTCATTCAGTTATATTAAAATCAAAGAGGAGCGGATAGCACAGTAGTAGTGATGCCAATCATCACGAGCGCGGTTGTGGTTCGATCCCGTCTTAGGCCCACCAAGCCTCTCATCCGTCCGTGGTCGTAAAATTTGTACCGGACTTGCCTGGGTAAAAATCAGTCAAGCAAATCAACCGAGCTATCCAATTGGTAATGCTCCAGCACCGCTATCACAGAACTCCAAGAAGAATCGATTCGACCAATATTGCACGACATTCAAAGATTAAATGAAAAATCCTCAAGCAGAAGTCGAAGCCAGCCGTAAAAGTTAGAAGATCTTCATTGATGACGGATGCGAGGAAACGAATCGAATGTGAAAAGCGCTGCGATTCACACCGGAGACGTGAAGATGAATCGTATAAAATAAAAAATAAAAGAAAATACGCACCGGACATAATCGTTGTGGACGAAAAAATATTTGGAAAAAGAAACAATAGCATAAGAAACAAACGTCATTTGAATATTCTCCTCCATTATTTAAGAATATCGATGTCAAATTAAACTTGGATTTTAAAACACAAAGCATTTGCCTTTAGAACAAACCTGTGCCAAACGAGCACACCGTTCTCTGGCTGTCCACCCTGCTATCCCACTTAGATAAGTGCTAAGTTGACGAAATTCACGGTCCAATTGAAGGCCACCGAGACGATTGAACGAGCATTTCATAATAACGCGTTCCATTTGACGTTCAACTTCACTGCATACAATAAGCAGTAAGCTCTAAAATTTAGCGTTGTAACGACATAACTGATTTATCCTGGTCAAAAATAATGGTCGTTAATTTTAATAATAAGAACTTATAGATGTGTTAACACACATGAAAGTTTTCCTTATGCAGTAGTTGTTCAAAAGACGCTATCTGCTTATCCAGTGTCGCGTTGAACTGTTCAATGAACGGATCTACTGCCTCGAATTCAGCGAGTTGTGTGTCAGTGAGCGTATGTGGCAAGTCTACGAAACTGTCACAACTGAAAGTGGAATTGAACTTTGTCAAAGAATATTCCAGTCACAGTTTTTTTTAAGAATACCTAGTAGCAACAAGTAGTCCTTTAACTAACAAGTAAGCTACGAGTAAACAACAACACTGGTATTTTCCTTCTATTAATTTCACGTCCTCTTTTGTTATGAACAGCGAAAGCAGTTATGCTGCTTCGTATACCGATTAAAGAATATGTGTCTTCACCTCCACCACCTTGATACAGAGGTCCCTGCAAGCTATTATATAGTCCAGACATACATTCAATTGCCTGTAACAATGCTTAGTGAAATAGAATGCATGTCGGATCTCTTAGAGACTGATCGACGCTGAATGTTTTATCCCTTTTTATTCTATCTTCACCGAGCTGTCGTATCACATGACGATAAAGTTAAATCAAACACATTACAGCAACGAAACCTCATTATATCAGTAAAAATACTCCTATCAGTGGAACAATCAGAATATAGAGGACAAAAACAGCTCTCGGTGTTGATCAAACCTTGAAGGATGCGCCATGTATTCGACCTCAATAAGTATCTTTGGAGGTGAACGAAAGCATATCTGGCCTTTTATAATGACTCGCGGTGGCCTACTGATGTATCGAGACAGTGCTCCTATCCTCCCAAACAAATATGGTACCAGTTTGCCGACCTTGGGTGGACGAAAGGCTTGGCGTGCCTGCGCTACGGGGATCGATCCCACGTGTATTGCAAGGGCACCTCCGACCACTGCTTCACACCCGCCCTTAATCAGAGTATAGGACTCCTAATACTTAATTTTATTTTCAGGCCATCGTTTTGTTTGATGTTCGTTTTCGGTTCTCCATGTTCTCGTTCATATTGCTTTTTGTTCCCCTTCGAATGTTGAGTAATCCAACACCTCACGTTAAGATTATCGAAAGTGACTACTAAGCCGCTGTTCTTTCGAAAGCAGATATCATATTCTTCGTATTTTTGTTGAGCAAACGCGAGGTGTTATTGTTCTCTATTCACGAATAAGCTGACGTTTCGGCGGATTTCGCCTTCCTCAGAGCTTGGACCGAGTAATCTTAAGCGCCAGCTAGTTCGTAACCGCCTATATGACCGTCTATGTGCAATTCAAAATTGCATAATTTGCCCCAGTGGTAGAGACGGTGATTGCATGAGCTCGGGTATAGTTTATCTGATCTCCTGTAAGACGTGCGGTGACGAATACATTGGCGAAACGGGTAGACCTCTCTGTGTCCACATAAAAAAACACCTAGCCGGCAAACATAGACCAAATACACCGCTAGGTACGCATAGGACCCAGAGACATAACGGAGACGACTTTGAAGTATGTTTCACCGTACTCGCACGCGAATCAAGAACACAGGCGCGAAAAACTCTCGAGGCATTCTGGATTAATTCCCGAAATCCGAAAATGAACCGCAGGGAAGAATGCCTCATTATCACGCGTGATATAGGGCAGTATATAAGACTGCTATTCTGATGAGTGGGGCACATTATACTTCCATGTGATTTCTGTGCGGTTGGTCTCTACGTGACATACTTAGTGGAGACCTCATAGAAAGCGGTGAGTGTGCAAAGCTGTGTTCAACGCGATTGAAATCTTGGTTTAGAGTTTCTTTGTTTGGTTATGGGGGCGTATGGCCGAGTAGATTGCTGTCAACTTGACCTTTCCAGGCTCTGAGGAAGGCGAAATCCGCCGAAACGTCAGCTTATTCGTGAATAAAGAACAATAACACCTCACGTTTGCTCAACAAAAATACGAAGAATTACTTGATCAATGCCGAGGTTAATAGAGAGTCGGTCGTGGGAGTTACTGCAGATATCATAGTCTCTTTACTGTTATGCTTTCCGTACTTACTGCCGTTCTGTTGTGACCAGCTTCGAAAACTTGGTATTCTTGAATCGACAACGTTCACTCTTCGAATACTATGTGCAGAATGGAGGCGTTACGCAGATAAGGCATTTTTTCGAGCACTGCGAACTGTTTGTCGCAACAGAGAAGGAATAAAAGCTTGATAATATGAAGTAAAGAGGACTTAATTCGAACACAAATTATGTAATTAGTTTAGGCTATATAGCTATACCAATCACCTCTCGAAGGCTTAAGTTGCTCGCAACATTTACAGGGGAGAAAACAAAAAACTACCAAGTTTTCTTTCAGTTTTTATCCAAAATATCCATGGTATCGCTCTTTAAGATTAAAGAAACTGTACTTCACAAAAGTCGACCGAATATAAATGCTGGAAATGAGTGCTGGAGAAATATTGTTTAGAAAACAAAAAAGACAACAACAACCTCGCTCTGAGTTTCGGCCGAAATGCTGTTTTGCAGAGCGACTCCATCCCAAGCGATGCCAAGTGGTGCATTTTTCGTGACACATCCGTTAGTTGACCAACTGCATGTTCAAGCTTTCCGGTCTCGACATCACTGCGCTAAAACACCGTACAGTATGGTGAAACTAATGATGGCAGGAAAGTTGCTCTAAGCATTACCCCAGAGTTACATTTTTTGTAAGATTATCACTTTCACATCGAAAGAGGAAAGACTGAGCTGCATACTTACAACTACACTCAGGACAGTCCTTACATTCTTTTTATTTTCTTAAAATTTTATTTCATTTGGTTCATCCTCACGTCTACTATGCGGATCCCAGCACTTATCACATTCCATTCGATTCCTTGGATCCATTGCTAACGAAGATCTTCCAACTTTCACGTGTGGCTTCAGTTGCTGCTTGAGGATTTCCATCTCATCATCATAGAATACTTATCGAGCACTTCTCCCTAAAGTCCTGAGAATGCCGACCTGGAGCGTTCCCAACTGGACGGCGGAGAGTTATTTTTTCCCGAACAAGTCCGATACCAATTTTGCGACTCGAGAGGGAGACAGGCTCGGTTGCCCCGGAAAGGAATCGAACTACCACCACGCTCGTGATGACGGACATCAATACCACTGTGTTACCCGCCCCCTTCTTTCCATTCTACAAATAAAATTTTAAACCGTGTGTTATACCTTACCTGAGTTTTGTTCCATTCCGATTCGAGACCTCTACGCAATTCCAGCAGAAGTTCTGCAGCACCACGAGCATTATTTGCTGCAGTTAGGAAAATATCACGCTGGACATCTACTTCTATCGATCTCCCTTAAAAAATGAAACTACAATTACAAGAACAAGATTAAGCAATATGGATTTACTGGTTGGGAAAACAAAATATGGGCGTGATCAATGAAAGCACTATTACACAGTAATTCACCGTAACTTACCATGTTGAATTACACTATAGGCATTCTGAGCTGTTTGAAGAGCTTCAGCTGCGAAATTTGTAGATGGATAACCTGCCTAAAATACTGGAGTAATTCTCGGTTCTTGTTGAGCAAACACGAGGTGTTACTTTACTCTTCCTTCTGGTAAAGCTGATGGTTCAGCAGCACTGCCTTCTTCCGAAGCTGGAAGGACGTCGAAATGGCAGCTTTACCGGAATAACTAATAAAGAGTAAAGTAACACCTTGTGTTTACAAAACAAGAACATACAAAATTATTTGATCAATGCCAAGGTTGGTAGAAATTCGGTCATAGTAGAATAACTTTCGTAAATGAAAAGTACACAAAGCCGACGTTATAAGCTCATATCGCCTGACCTGAATCGCGCTGTAGAGATGACGGTAAAATGTAGTTTCCAGCAGTGCAACTCCGTTATTTAGAGCTGCACATACACAATCAACTGATCCACTACTCATTGCACGTCTCACACATTTCCGTACCAAAAACAGCACGTCATCCACGACAGAGCTAAAATTTTTCACGAAAATTTTCAGTAGTATACTCTCATAAATAGTGAGCACGTATAGCGCAGTAGTCACAGACGCCCTGAAATACACATGGGATCGGTCCCTGCGTCCGAGGCCCACCAAGCCTTCAGTCTTTCTGAGGTCGGCAAATTGGTACCAGACTTGTCTAGGAGGAGAGCAGTACTGGCTCGATACATTGGAAGGCCACCACGAGTTATTGCAAAGGGCAAATATGCATTCAATCATCTCCAAACGATGCTTTATGAAGTCGAATATATGGTGCATCCCTCGGTGATTGATCAACGCTGTGAGCTTTACTATTTTTTATTTTTTTGCTTTCATCACTAAAGAAATGCGAGTACTACAGTATAGTGAAGCAGTAACGCTAAAAAGAGTTCTTCATACATAGAAAGGTAGATCCATCACAATACACTGATGTTAACAAAATTTGCTTAATAGTCCAACCTGTAGTAAAGATGAATAAAATCAACCTTAATAACCCTTCCTCCTTAACATCTGTGTCAATTGCCTTTCGAATCGATTCGCCCATATAATACTGCTCCAGTAGCAAATAGTTACCCAATAGTTCCTGAAGATACGAAGGCCTCGCCTCGAACTTTACTTAATAGTTCCACTCTCTAGACTGACACTGCAGCAAAGCCAAAATGGAAGAAAAAACGAAGAAATCTTAACAAGCAACAAATAAACAAGGTAGTTTCCACACAGCTTACCTGCATTTTTGATCCTACTAAACTACGATTGAGCAGTTGATCGAGTTTTTTTTCCCGTTCTTCTTTACGACGTACTTTTTCCTCTCCCAGTCGTTTTTTCTTCTCTTCATCTATGTCACCAAAGTCGTCATTGTGTGCTAGCGATAGCTAAAAAGTCTCCTTTTATGCTTTAGAGAGAACTTCAGAGTTCCGTCTAAGGAATGATGTTCTAAACAGGGACCCAGAAAAGCTCAACTGTAGCTAGAAGAAAACACGTACATCATCTTGATTTGTGTCCACTGTTGCGCCTTTGATACGCCTACGCACAAATCTCCAATACATTTCAGTGTGCGTGTTCATTAAGCAAATTTCCGACAGTAATGTATCCAATTCAAGTGGATCCAAACGTTCAGCTAAAACAAAAAATTTCGTCTAAAATTTCAAGTTACTTACTTGGATACTTTAATCGTTCGTCTTCACTGATTGTACGGGCTCCAGCACAATTGCCATTGTTTCGGAATTTAGCTAGTTTACTCCTTACGGATCCTAGGAGTCCCGAGGTCAGTCAGGCTAAAGTTTGCCCCAAGTTATCACCATCACAGGTAGTCGCTGCGCTTTGTGTATCAGGTGATTAACCACCATGCGACTAGTTTGATTCCAGGACGGTGGCGGATCCTGATGTTGGTGTGTGGTCTGGCGTATGTGGGTACGCTATGTATAAGACCGTACGTTTTTCTCAGAACGTACATCGAATCCACGAGATTTCAACACAACAGAGAAATATGAAGGCTGCGTTGCACATATTAGCGATGGAACTAATAACCAGAAAACATTTTTCTTTATGATGTTGCTCCAGCTCTCTATGAAAAAAAGGAGAAAAAAACGGAACGACAAGACTTACCTGCACCTCCGACTTTGTCAACGTGGCGCTCATCCCGCAGAAGTCTTTCAACTACTTTCACACGCTTTTCGAGATGGCGTTTCTTCGTAAAAGAATCTATTACCTTTCCAACAATTTGATCGATTTCAACCTGAAATAAGGAGCACTACTACGAAATGAACAAATTTCATAAACATTTCAAACATGAAGGTGTAATCAACGCACTTGCAGAATATTAATGAAGTCCAGCAATTTATCTGGGCCATATGAATTCTCAACAATTGGCTGATTCGTTTCAAGAAGTGCTGCAATCCCTAAAAATGTGGAAAGACTACGATCAACCGGTCAACAATACCTCGTGTCCATTCTATGATAGGACTCTGAAAAAACCTTTTATGAGAGATGTCTCGTAGTAATTCCTACGACCGACTTTCTTTTAACATCGGCATTAATCAGATAATTCTACATATTTTTATTGAACAAACATGAAGTGCTATTTTATTTTTTATTGCGATGAAGCTGACGTTTCGGTGGGTTTCGCTTCCCTCAGAACCTGGAAAGGTCAAGTTGTCCGCATTCTACTCAGTCAACTTGACCTTTCCAGGTTCTGAGGAAGGCGAAATTCGCCGAAACGTCAGCTTGTTCGTGAATAAAGAATAAAATAGCACCTCGTGTTTGGTCAGTAAGAATATAAGGAATTTTATGAGACAGTCATAAATAAGTTATACGAAAGAAAAACAGGTAAAACAAAGTGAAGTCGATGGTTTAATCCTGACATAGAACGAACCTTCAAAAAACAAAAATAATGTATCTGCATAAAGCACGTTCACACGCTTGTCGTCGGTTCCACCAACACTCATGATCTTAAAAACATCACAAAGCTCTGAGCGAAGTGACTTCTCATTGAAAACCATGAAACTTTCACCCATAAAAAGACTTGAAAACTGAAGTTAATAAAACCACCTTCAAATTATCATCTCCTATCTTTATGATTTTCTTGCTCAAATACTTTCCGAACTGAAGAAGACCCTTGTCGTGCTCGTTAATCAGAGGGAAAAGCTTTACAAACCTAAAGTGTTTGCATGGCAAAACAATCAACCGATAAATGCATCCAACAACTTTTTAAAATCCAAGTTAAAAAATTCAACGCATAAATGATAAGGACTATAAATACTCTAGATTACCTCTGAATTCCGGCAACATCCTCATTATCAATAGCTGCGTCTAATTTTCGTTCTAGAATTCCCTTGAGTCGTCTGGTTGCGTTGGTCAACACTTCGTAGCTATGTGATACGGATTGTCCAGCGCCTATAAATATGAAACTAAACTACGGGAAGAAATCTGACAGAACGTTTGGACATGAGACATAGTACTTTATGAGATAAAACGAAAATAACAAACGATAAAGATCTCTGCGCTGATCAATCCGTGAGGTATGTTCCATGCATCCGACTTCATTAAGCATCGTTGGAAGTGGCTGAATGCAAATTTGGTCTTTACAATGACTTGTGGTGGCCTGCCGATGCATCTAGGCAGTGCTGTTATCCTCCCAGACAAGGCAGGTACCAATTTGCCAACCCAAAAAGGATGGAAGGCTTGGTGAGCCTGGGGCGCAGGGATCGATCCGATGTGTATTGCAGGGCGCCTTCGAACGCTTCGCTACATTCCCCCCCCAAAACAAAAAGAAACACACCAAAAACCATTATATGCAAACTAACCCTTTTCTACTGTGCTGCTAAACTGGAAAACAGCTCTATCAAGAGTAAGAAAGCGATGAATATGCTGTGCAGCTTGCTCATAGTCTTCGTTGCTAATACACTCATCAACGCCTTCACTACACACTCCTGTAAGTTTGGCACATAAAGTATATATTTTTCCACATAATTTTCTTTACAAATTCTCAAAGATAATACCGATCCTGTGGAAAACCACAATATAAGCATAGGTAGGTAGGTATACGAACTTAGAATCACAATCAACAAAAACTCACCGAGGTCGTACATATCACCGGCAAGTTGAAGGCATTCAACAACACGAGTCTTAGCAATATCTAATGCGGACACCTGCAAGTCAAATAAAATGATTCCAAATGTTAAATTTTTTATTTACTGCCTACTACAATTCTTCACGGCAGGATATTGTGTGAAATTAAAACCATAACGATGCTGAGATATTTGCAAAATTTCGGACGGCACATGTCTGCGGCGGGCATCGAACCCACTGTTACCCTTTCCGGGGGCTAACGTGTTCACCGCCACACCATGCAGATACTTCGTTTCGCCTTTCTCTCAGCCGTGTTATTGACTTATAGATGCTATTAGCAGTCAACCACCAAGGGATTGATCTGAGGAGCACAAATTACTCCATCATTATCTTTGAACTACTTCAATTATTGGATCCATATAATCGAACCTAAACATCAGACTGAAACGAATGGTACTTACTTTACTACTGATATTGTCAGCAAGACGTGAAATTGTACGCAGACTACTGGCCAGTTGCTTTGAATCACCTTCGACGACAAGCATAGCGTTGTTCAAACGAGAGACGGCCATTCCAAAGGCTCTGCTCTGGTCTCCTAACGATGTAAAAATTACGCTTTGTAAAGAGATATACAACATGGAAAGCAAATCAAAACTTTTGATAAGCTCGAAAAAGTATCTTAGTATCAAGAAATTCCTAAAATGCATATGAAGTGGTAAAAAAGTAGACAACAAAATAGTGGAATTCATGCGTAATATGCATTTATACAATGTACTTGCTTGGATACTTGGATAGCCCGTCCTCATTGGTCGTGCGGGCCCCAGGCCCCATTTTTCAGAGTTTTGCTGGAATAGCTATTCTGGTTCCCTGGAGTCTCGAAGTCAACCTAGCCAAAATCTGCCCTAGGTCGTCACCAGCATAGGCAGCCGCCGCTCTTGGTGATTTGAGTGAGATTTACCACCATGCGACCAACTTGATACTAAAACGGTGCTGGATAGCGCCATTGGTTTACTCTCAGCTGAGATTTCTAGTGGAAACGTCAGACTCTTTCTCAGCTTGGAAGACCCTGCTGTGGGGATGAATCCCCTGCTGTACATAGCAGCCCGGCACCCAGGAACACCTTCCAGCCACGATGAAGCGGTCAACCGTTGAAAGGTATATATAATGTATAATACATAATCTCAAATTATTAATTTTTAAAATAGGCCTTAAAAAGTGGTACTAGAGACGATAAGAAAAAGTACCTGAAGCACACTCATTGAGAACATCCGCTATTTCTTTTTGTAACCTCTCCTCCTCTCGTCTTTTTACATCCAGCTCTACTCGAAGTTCTTGCAGTTGTTTACTGATATAAAGATCGTCCTCATCTGTTTCCTTCAAATAAGCCATCATAACAGCTTTACTACTACCACAGAATTCGCAAAAATGTCTAGAAAAAGAATATCTTACGATACTTTTCATTCTTTAAAAATATTTAAAACAGATAAGTAAACACAATCCTTACAAGGTGAGCCTTTTTAACACCTTCACTACGTCGAGGCCGACCCGCAGGAATTGTGGTAACTGTTTTCTGAAAAACCAGTAAAAAGAATGACAATGTCAAAATGATACTACATAAGCTCTATAATTCTGGAATTTAGCACAGTGTCTGTAGTAGTACCGTTCCTTACAGGCACTACGTAACCCATCTGGATCCTGTTTCAATTGAGATTTATGCTTCAGCACAGGGCTAGAAAGCAGTTAAATACGATCACGAACAAAATAGAAAAAGCACCTTCAAGATCGTATCTGCAGCAGTCAGGAAATCAAAACCATTCGCTATACGGTCTGCTACATCTGATGTAGTGTCCATCATCAGTGCGAGAAAAAGCTGAAAAGTCCTGACATTTCATAAAACATTTGACACAAAAAAGTATATGTATATATTATATATATATATACGCGTATATATATATATATGTACATATATATATATATATGTATATATAAACTAGGCACGAGAAATCTAAAGATTAGGGATGCCGCGCATCGATAATACAAAACTGATTGTTGGCTCGATCGCTTCTCAAGCGAACAAAACCTCCCATAAGCGGCAAACTGGTACTAAATTACCTAATGAAAGCTAATTCCTATCCACCAAAACCGGTTGGGGGGGGTGCATTGAAGTTCTGGGAGTAGCTCCTATACCACGACTCTAGAAGGGATCAATTCGATTAATATCCAACAACATTCATGACGACGATAACGTCCTCACTGGGTAACCGAAACTATGCGCAAAACCGATGACCACTGCAGATAACGGATACGAGAGAATGAACCAAATGGAAGAACAGAGATTCGCCTATCAAGTTAGGTCAGGTTACGTAAATTAGAAATACAAGAAATAGAAATAATGAGACATGGGCTTCTTATCTCTATTTATCTATAGATCTCATTCCTTAGTACGGTATAAGGGGCTGAACGCAGATAAACACCAACGACGAATTTACCCGAGACATGGTGAATCCAAAGCATTTATTCTTTGGTGTGATGTAGTGACATATAAACTGACCAATTTGAGCATTTACAAAGTCTTCAATCACCTTTGTAAAGCGCCGGAGTGACTTACTGGACTCTGCTTTCTCAAGAAACATGAAGAATATGACGTCTCACATGAGTGTTTAACTTTATTCCTTCTAGCTATGGCACTATATATATATATACATATATATATATATATATATATATATATATGTCCATACATATAATGTTGGAGTCAGGTAACACAGTGGTAGTAATTTCATTCATCACGAACACAGTGATGTTTCCATTCCGTCCCAGACTCACCAAGACTCTCATCCCCCCAGAGTCGAGAAATTGATAGCAGACTTGATTGGGAACATTTCACACTTCCTGCAATCTAACTGGGAACTCTCTAGTCCGGCTACGCCAAGATTCCAAAGAGAATCGGCTCGACCCGCATTCGCAGACATTCGTAGAAGAGGCAATCCTCATGCAACATTCGAACCCACACATGAACAGCTCGAAGTCCTTCGTAGGTGATGGATGAGAAGAAACGAATCGAATGCAAAAACTGCTGGGATCGCCATTGTGGATGTGAAGACAGGTTATGTAAAATAAATAAAAATATGTATATATACATATATGTAGTATGATACCGACCAGAACAGTCAATAGTACTACATACAGTACATACTCAAGCACTATTAAGTCAAAATAACAAGTACTCAGTTCTTCCGACAATGGATGGCGCACTAGTGAATGTCGCCCACTGAAACGAAAGTACAGAAAAAAGATACAAATAATGAAATACTTACACGAGCATAAGAAAGATAATGAATATATTCCACAAGGCAATGAATATACGGAAATACTGAAGCGACAAAAGAAATTCTCGAATCTTATCGCCGACCGATTTCACTTCACTTTCAACAATGAAGTGGTGAAAATCCTGACCTTGACTGTTCCTGAAATGAAAATGAATTTCGAGAAGGCCATTCAGAACCCTTTGGTTCTTTTTGAGTTCTTTAAAAGGCATCCATTAGTCGATGCGCACAGGAAAAGCAGTTGTATTAAGGATAACCCTCCAGTGAGAAGTTTACGAATTTTTTCTGTATTAAGGTGAAAACGCGTCCTCTAAAAAGTGGTCGCTTCTACATGCAATTTGCTCTCTAAAGTATACAATACCACTACATACGATATATGACATAACATCTCTGTCTTCAGATTTTCTTCCCTATGCAAACTGTCACTTCCCAACGGTTTAGCGCCTCGTCGCGGCTAGCAGGTGTTCTTGGGTATTGGGCTGCGACGTACAGAGAGCGGATACATTCTGCAGCACAGCCTCCCAAGCTGAGACCGGCGTTTAGATCAGGAAACTGAGCTAAGAGTGAACCAACTCTAGGATTCACCGCCGTCCTGGAAGTAGCCGCATTGTGGCAAATCTCTCTCTGAACGACCTGGGCCAAGCTTTGGCTAGGCTAACCTTTGGGCTCCAGGAAACCACAATGGCTAAATGAGCTAAACTCCGAAAAATGAAAATTATGCTGGGGCACACAAAACCAGTGAGAACGACCCACTCAAATATCCAAGTAGGTATACAAACATGAATACCTTGACTTTTACCAGACAATAAGGCCAATACTGGGACCACACTTTCCGTTTTATATCAAATCCCATTCAGAAGCAGAAACAGAAGTTGCGCCGGATGCGAATTTCCAACGAGATACAAGCCCTCTGGTTTTGAGGCAGAACAGAATCTGATACGCGACATCCATAGCTGCATGTGCTGGACACTAGCTCCGACCACAGGTTTCTGAAACCTTCACTAAGCGACCTCTATCTGCTGTGCTCCCGCTGGTCAACGACTACCAATTGAGTGGGAATCACTATGGTTCATTCGCTATGTCCGCCGCATCAGACTAGCAAAACTCTTCGGTGCCAACAAAATCGCAAACGTAGTCCATGCAAAGAATTATCCTATAGATATTGATGCTTCGACTTTAAGAAACTCTTGGGACTGTCCTTCAGCTTGTCGAGTAGTTGCACGAACAGATATGCGAATGGATAATTTACTAGTTAGTAAACCTTTCCAGTAAGTGAGAAGCGGTACCAAGTATTAAGAACAGATGACAAAATAACCTCCATCGCCTCCGTGCTATAAGATTCACAACAGTTTCGCTAACACGAGTAAGCCCCGCTATCTTCTTTATCGAAGCCGGTATACTCACATCGTTGTCGAACTATTGTTGAACGGACAGCACTCCTTCCTGAGGTAACCCAAAACACCTTCCAGATATCGCCCAGTTATATGACTGTCAGCTTCTGGAAGAATCAACATGGTAGACATGCAGCCAGCCGAAATATTTGATGATCCGTCTTCACTGGTTGTGCGGACTCCCTCATAACCCCAATTCCTCCAAAGTTTTGTTGGTTTATTGTGGTTCCTGGAGTCCCAAGGTCAGCCTAGCCAAAGCCTGCCGATCGTCACGAGCACGGGCAGTCACTGCCCTTACAGATCAGAGATTTGCCACCATGGGACTAGTTTGATACTAGGCAGGTGGTGAATCCCAGTATTGTTTACTCTTAGCTGTGCTTCCTGGTGGAAAAGCTGGGCTCATTCTGAGCTTCGGAGACAAGGGCGGGGTGACGAATCCCCCGTTGTACATTGCAGCACGACACCCAGGAACACCTCACAACCACGATGAGGCGGTAACCCGTTGTGAGGAAATGAACATATCTAAACGTATACACGTTCTGTTTGCGAAGGAGTTAACTGATCCTCACATTAGCCCTTGAAAAACTTACAATTTGAAGTTCAATATGGCACAAGCGTTCACGAACAACGTTGATGCGATGACAAGCTCAGAGAGCATAGTTCGAACCCCGAAGAATCAACTGTTAGACGTCTTGAGCTTCCACAGAAGGTTATAGCAAAACAAGGAGCAGAAACTTAAACTGTACCACCTTAGCGTCTTTAACTCACTACTTTACTAAACAAGCTATTAACGACATCAAATATGTCAAGGTTTGAAAAACTGGAGCAAACACACCAACAAAATGGAATAAAATCACTCTGCCTAGAAAAAAAGACTACGAAATACAAAAATATGTTAAAGAAACCGTGTACTCTCATCTTATAATAAAATCCCTAAAATCCACAAAACCTAAAGTGTCCTACATCCAGTGGATACATTCCAACAAAAATGGCCCAGTGCCAATCCAACTTGTCAGTGCTCGTGTCCAAAACGGGTCAGCTTTTTGTCATACTCTACCTACTCGTGAATGTTTACAAATCCTGAATATTCGTGACTATTGTTCGGACTATCAGAAGTTCTAGAACAAGTACTTCCTCACGAGAGCGAAACCAGCACCGAAATCCAAGTATAAATCACCGTCTCCCTGAGTTTCATAGAACATGGAGTACTTAAAGCGCGCAGGTCGGGTTGCTAATTTCTAAGTAGTTCTCAGTACAATCTACAAAAATTGGTTTTTTTTGCAACATAGGTAGACTCAGTAGTGTACTACCACGGAAGTTGAAGTACTTAAGTGGACATATGCATCGTGTGCTACTCCCGAAAACGACAGGGCCCTAACCTGTGCTTGACTCAAGCTTGATAAAACCGAGTTCAGTATATAGCTTCTTCATGAAGAAGGAAAGACCTGAATCAAAGAAGAGGAAGAAGAAGATTCAGAGCCAAGAAGCAAATCTTTATGTTTAACAATGGTGTTCACTTCACAGCGTGAAATGTTCCTTCACCATAAAGCAAGAAACATCCATTCGTCATTCGTGGACATATCTCTGATTTTCAGCTAACTGAACTGACCGTAGTAATATTTTGACAAGTTCATTACCAAATGTGTAAAAAATGAGGCCATAAAATCATTCAGGTGACTAGATACCCGTATGCTATTGATTTGACAGGGGCGTGTGTAACGCAGTGGTCAGAGGCACTCTGCAATGCACATCGGATAAATCCACTGCCTTAAACTCACCAAGCCTTCCATCTCTCTGAGGTGGGCAAATTCGTGCCAGAATTTTGCCAAAATTTGTCTGGAAGGATAGCAGCACTGGCTCGAAACACCGGTAAGTCACTGCGAGTGATTGTAAAGGCCAGATATGCATTCAATCACCTCTAACGATGCTACGAGTGGAGTCAAATGCATCATAGCCGAGAGCCTTATTCTTTGTTCTTTTTATCGACTTGACCCTGCTGAGCTTAGCAAACAGTAGGCACCCGTTTTTTGTTAGTTTTTATAAATCAACTTAGCAAGCAATATTGTACAATATGGACAATAATCATATACAGAGAGTCAAACTCTACCAAACATGCTACGTTTACATGACATCATATCTACACAACCCTAAATGGAAGCGGAATAAAACAGAAACAGGTCAGTAGGACAGTTAGGTAAGTGTGAATGAGATGAAACATGAATGAAATGACCTCAAAAGCGAAACAACTCCCACAACACATGTGATCTGCTTGTTGAGAACTAGACTGACATCAGTTCTGTCCTGAAAAGGTTCGCATTAAATAGATGAATCGTGCTTCACTCAAAAATACCCTAAGCTTACGACCAAGAAGAAGATTCATTTTGAAATGGTATAAAGAGTCAAAGGATAAAGCCCTCGGCGTTGATCAATCCCTGAAGGACGCGCCATGCATTTTACTTCATTAAGCATCGTTTGGAAGTGAGTGAATGCATATCTGGCATTTACAATGACTCGCGGTGGCCTACCGATGTGTCGAGCCACTGTTGCTATCCTCGCAGGCATTTCTGGTACCAGTTTGTCGACCCCAAAGAGATAGAATACTTGGTGAGCAGAGGCCGTCGGGATCGATCCCATGTGTATTGCAGGGTGTCTCCGACCACTGCGCCGCACGCACCCCTTTGAAATTGAAATGGTATGATCAGTTATGTATCAATTTCCATTAGGGCAGACGATTGAAACTGAAGGAATGCAAACCTTAGAAACGACGAATGCTAGCGTTAAACCAGTGCATACTGCTAAGGGATGAGTGACGACTCTCGATCGATTTCGCAATTCGTGCCACACATTGACTGTCACCTGCACGTGCCAACGCACGATCCACGTCGCTACGACGATTGATCATCTCGATTGGCATGCTAAAATAATAGAGGAAAATTGAGAGAATAAGTGAGAAAGAGAATAAAGGAAAAGTGGGAAGTCCATTCGGAAACTCACCATTGCTCAGAAATGCACATTTTTGCACTAAAGTACAGTTTTCATGTGAAGTTTTCTCTATGGCACGGTAATTCACGAGGTGCAAGATCAAGAAGTACAGAAAATAAATGGAAGGTCCAGCTATGGGACAAAGGTAGGAAATCGAGCCATGCAAATCCAGTACTAAGGTGATGGTAATGACTTGTGGTATTGCACCTGTAGTACCTGTAGTACTATGGTGATAGTGATGAGTTGTGGTATTCTGTAGTACCAGTAAAACTATGGTGATGACGATGACTTATGGTGTTACACTATCGCAAAACGGTGATATGCGATAGAAGATATGTGATGGTGTTGAAAGCTCAGCGAATCTACTCGGAGCGAGGTCCTCATGGTCCACAGAGAGCTTTCGAAACTAGATCCTGCTGTTACGCACACCGGTCTATTGGTTATCATCGTAATTTGCAAGAAAACGGTGGAGAAGAAATCTTTATCGAGGGATACTGAAAGGCGAGGATCCTGATGGAATCACAAAGCGTGAAAAACTCAGACAAATGACATTGACACTTTTCTGAGTAGAACATTTCGCTTTCTACTCTGCTCGATAGGAATAAACGAACTGCAGTTGATAGACGAAAGCGATTAAAGTGAGTCTACACAGATTTTCTGATCCATGACATATGTTACCTTTCCCCGGAAGTTCTATTTGTAGCTAGAGACCTAAAACAAGTCCTGGCTCAGAAAATATTTCACAAAATCTTCTATGAGTCAGCCGAGACAACGAAATAGATGGAAGGCTTAGAAATCCAGCTAGATAACTAGATGACTTGTTCTCGAAGCAGGAATTGATGCAGCTGCGAATAGAATGTGCAAAATAAGCTGGAAAATTTATCTCAATGCAAAACCTTCAGTCGTGGAACCACAAAGCGGTCATACGGTCTGGAGCCTTATTAACTGAAGAACCCTCGTATTGGGCTCGGACAATGCATGGATTTACTCGGTGAAAATAAAAAACGCTGACATTAATATGAGTGGGTGTATGAAGTGCATAATCGATATTGCTTATTCGTATCATTCTTTATCTTGCATTAATATAGAAATCTTTAGGAAAATTCATGGATGTCAAGGATGCTCACCTAATATTCATATCAGTCAGTCGCCTTCCACTTCCAGAACTGAACGAATTATGAAAATTGGAACACTGATCAATGTAATGATGAGTTTGAGTCTGCAAAACCTGCTGAATTTGGAATAGTTTCTACAATAAAGTAAACAAACATGCAATAAACAAACCCTAAGCGCATTCTCCCGTGCAAGCATTTGTTGGGCTAGAATAGCAGGGTTAGTAATCTTGTGGATGAATTGGCATCTAAACATTCCAAGTTTTTCTCATTTGTTCAGTACTAAGAGGAAGAAAGGTTTGTGAATTTTGTGCTGAAAAACTTATGGGAAGAATAATTCATTTGGGAAAGTACTGCTATCAGAACTTGACCTTTTAATCGAGAAGATGGAAAGTTTGAGAAGAACGACAGTACCTTGCTCCATATTTACAATAACCAGTATTCGAGAACTTATCGCACAGCACTGTTTTGTATTTAGGGTGACTACGACCACGAGGCTAGAAGTATGTAAGGACGCCACTATTACTATTATAATAGTAAAAACTACTTAGTCAGATTACCTGGGCAGGTAGACGCAATTCGTCTACGCCATGAGCAAATCGACATTCCTTACCGTAACTGCATGTTTGCGTTCGTCTATATGACTCACATAAAGCGGTTTTGTAAGCATCTTCCTAGAACATTCTTGAAGTTTTTGTGAAGATCTTTGACAGTATTTGACATATTAGTCTATAACAAAGGTGAAACGGAACAAAGTTCAGTTTACGTGAACAGTTCTGCATGAAACGGAATTAGATTGAAATTATCCCGTAGAGAAAATTACGATGTACCTAGGGATAGTTGCTGCATTCCCAGTAAACTATTGCTTTTAAGCTATATCATAGTGGGATTATTTATAACTAGTTAGCCATTGCATAGATGAATGAACCTCCCAACGGTTAACCTCCTCATCTAGCTGGAAGGTGTTCCCGGGTGTCGGGTTGCGATGTACAGTGGCAGGGATTTATCCTCCCAGCATGGTCTCCTAGTTGAAAAAGAGTTCAACGTTTCCATTAAGAAGTCCAGCTAAGAGTGAACCAGCACCAAAATCCAGCACCGTCCTGCTATGGAGCTAGTCGCTTGTTGGCAAATCTACCTCTGATCCACAAAGGCCGGCGACTGCCAGTGGTGGTGAAGACGGCGCAGACTTTGGCTTGGCTGACCTCAGGACTCCAGGGAACTGCATTGGCTAAATCAGCAAAACCCCTAAACAATGGAAATTACGCTGGCGCCCGTACAACTAGTGAAGACGGGCCATCCAAACATCCGAGTATAGATGAATGAAACTTCCACCGAGCTCAGGAAATCCTGGCGAAGATACATTATCCGTAGACGGAGACTAATAACCAAAAACGGATGTCCATGAAAACAAAGGTCACCTTTCTTTTTTGCCGAAGTAGTTCCTCTCTTTCATCGTCTGTGAGCGTACATGGGTCTTGAGATGCAAGAGCCGACTTTACACAACTGTTCAATTGTTCGCGTAAATATGCATCTTGTGCGGTAAGATTTCGAAGTAGACTCTGAAAATATGGTAATATAAAAGGTAAACAAACAGAACAGATTATTTTTCATCAAAATACCCTTTGTGATATATAAAACAGAAAAGACTCGAAGGCTTCATTGCCGTTTAGCTCATATGTGAGCCATAAAATGAGCTAAAAACTATGGGATTCTGCAAACACTAACACATGGTAATGATAGAAACAATAGTAACGAGTGCCAAAATACCCATTGGTTGGACTCTGTTAACTCTTTCTAAGGAAATAAAATCCATGTTAAAACGTCGCTTATATTGTACTACCTAGCAACGGATCAGTGACAATGTGGAGTGGATTTAGACTAATTCGATGAGCTCCTAGTATTACACTTGGAGCTACTAATCTCGAACATTAGTAGAAGGTGCGCTCTTATATTATTAATATTGGTAGAAGATGTTACAGATATTATAGAAGATATACTGTAGGGATAGGCGAGTGCAGCGCAGTGGTTAGAGTCGCCCTGCAATACACATGGATTCGATCCTGCGCCCCAGGCTCGTCAAGCCCTCCATCTTTCCGGAGCTAGCAAATTGGTACCAGACTTGTCTGGGAGGATAGCAGCACTGGTTCAATCCATCGGCAGGTCACCGTGAGTCGTTGTAAAAGCCCTATATGCATTCAATCACATCTAAACGATGCTACAAATGAAGTGGAATGAATGGCTCATCTCTTAGGGATTGATAAACATGGACAGCTTTATTTTTTATATTGTAGTGGTGGAGTTACAGAGAAGATATAGTATAGAAGATACGGGAGGCATTATAGATATTATAGAAAATAGGAATACTAGTAGGAGAATTTCATGATAAAGAAGTAGTAGAAATAAAACAAATGGAAACTCACAACGTCAAATCCTAACAGATCTGGTGGACATGTAATGTTTTGCTTGTCATCCATTTCATAGACTGTATAGTCGTCTAAGCAGGTCTTCATGAAGGCAGCAGCAGTTTTACCAATTTCGTCGTTTTCGTCCAACTTCGTTTGTGAATCAGGTAATCGATCGGACATTCTTGATTAAATGAAATCTCAGGAAAGAAATTACTTCAGAGTTTAAGTGCCGCACAGTGGCTACGAAATCTCAGAATCGGAACAGAATTCTGTAACGCCTTCCGACAGAAGGTGGGCGAATCAGAGTGTATTCACGAGAAATTTTCACATCCATCAAAATGGGATTTATTGTCGAAAAAAAATTTCACTTCATAGCCTAAATATGTCGGAAAACATTATTTCGTTGTGTTCATCTCAGTTTCGAAGAATCTCAAGTAGGAAATCACATGTGATGGATCAGTCTAGTTATCCAGTGAGGTAACTGTAACGTCAAGCCCTCTACAGAACGATGAACATTGCAGTTACAAACGCGTACTTTCAATATAGTGGCTTTTCACGGAGGGCCTTTCACACTGGTGATAAACGTGGTTCAGTATGAGGATATTAGTGCACCGATAGAAGCAGTGACAGCAGAGATTTCGCTCCCACTTCTTGTCAAGCACCTATTGTTGTTTATTGTTCTCGAAAGATGTTCGGTCGGCTACCATTTTTTTTCATATTTGAACAAAGAGTCAAGTCTAACCTAGTGGTTAGAGATGCCTTACGGTACACACGTGGTCAATGGCTCGATGACACGCCACGGAAAGACTAAGCCCCGCGGAGCTCCATCTCTTCCATGGTCGGAAAATTCACACCATGTTTGTCTGGGTGGATAAAACCACTGACTTGATATATCATTATGCTAGCCCGAGTCATTGTTTAGGTCAGATATTCATTAAATCACCTCTCTACGATGCTATGAATGGAGTGGATTGCATGGCGCGTGTCTACGAAATTGAAAACAACTCAAGATGTTTCAGGATTAACAGATCGTAAAGTCATAACGTGAACAAAGGATTTGGCTGACAAAATAATTTGCTGCTAATTGAAAAAAGCAAACATTCCAAGTCGGAGAATCTAGGCGATTGTACTACTTTTTATCTGAAGAGGCTTGGGAACGATAACTTCTTAAAAGGTAAATCATTGATTCCCTAAAGTCGAGGATTCTATAGTGCTACTGACGACCACGCGCGATTATACGTATATGAAATATGCGAGATTCTATCAAAAAGAAGCAGAGATGGGGTTTGGAAACACAGGGAAACAATGATCTAGTCATGACAAAAGATGAAATGGACTAAATAACGGCCGATGTCGATAGCGTTTGGCGCCAAATCATCAATCTATTAAGGATGTTGTAGATCAATCCAGACATCAAACAATTTTCGTTTGTTCTACTATATGGACGTTTTTGATAAGTCCTTTCTAAATTTCCGTTTAACTTAGTGATATTTGTAGAGTTAAAATAATAATTGAAGAAGAACATACTTGGATAGTTGGATGGCCCGTCATTACTGGTTGTGTCTGCTCTAGCACAATTTCCATTTTTTCAGAGTTTCGCCGGTCTAGCCGTTGTGGTTCCCTGCAGTCCCGAGGTCACCCTGGCCAAAGTCTGCCCCAGGTCGTCACCAACACCGGCAGACGCAGCCCTTGTGGATCAGGGGAAGAATTGCCACCATGCAACTAGTTCGATAAAAGGAAGGTGGTGGTTCCTGGTACTGGCTTACTTTTACCTGACCTTCCTGGTGGAAATGCGGGGCTTTTCTCAGCTTGCGAAGTCCTTGTGAGGGATGAAACCCGTCGCTCTAGATCGTAGCCCGACACCAAGGAATATCTCCCGACTACGATGAGGCGGTAAACCTTTGGGAGGACTTCACGAAGAACACCACTGTAGACGTTCCAATGAACTTGGCGACGACGAATTGAAGGCACTTGTGGAAGTAAACGCGCGAACAACTGTTCGCGAGGTTGGAGAACAGCTAGAGGGAAGCACGGGAACAATTTCCACTCACTTAAATCGCATAGAGAGGACAAAAACTCGAAAAGTGAGTGTCTCATGAATAAAACGATAATAAAAAAAACTGCCATTTAGAAGTGCCGTCCTCTGTTATTCTGCGCAACAAAAACGACCCTTTCTTGGTCGAACTGCGACGTACTACGAGAAGTGGATTCCGTATAACAACAACAACCGGCGATGTTCAGCTTAATTGTTGCATTGCGATTGGACTCCACCGCACTTCCCAAAGGCGAAATTGCACCAAAAAAAGTTGTGATGACTGTTTGGTGGTCTGCAGCAGGGCTCATACAACATAGCTCTTTGAATCTAGGCGAAACGATTACGGCAGAAGTATTTCCAACAACTCGACTAAATGCACTGTAAATTCTAACAGCAACGACCGGCATTAGTCAGCAGAAAAGGATCAATCCTTCACGACAACACTCGACCTCACACGGCGGAACTCGCGCTGCAGAAGTTGAACCAGTTGGGCTACGAAACTTTCCGTCATTCACCATATTTTCCAGACCTCTCACCTATATCACTTCTTCAAGCACCTTGACAACTTCCCGCGCAAGAAATGATTCACCAACCACAATGACGTAAAAAATGCCTTCAATGAATTTATTGCTTCCAGAGCTCCAGAATTTTAAACAGCTGGAATACATAGACGTGCTTCTTGTTGGAAAAAATGTGTAGGTTTAAATACTTTTATTTTGATCAATAAAGTCTTGTTTGAAGAAAGTTACGACATTTTAAATAATATGGTAAAAAATGCCTATTTATTTCCTAAGAACTTGGTTCATGCTGCCATACACAAGGTTACCTTAGAAAAGAGTTCGGATGGTGAGAAACTTGAGTCCAATCCTAACAGCGAGCGCGCCTGTCATGTAGAGTAATGCCTCCTGGCGCAATAAGCGTTGAATTTTCTTGCGGATTATTTATCCCAGTGTGACTCGTTTAGCTTTCTTTAAAGATGTTTCCATACCTTCTTGAAACCGTGTTGCGCGATTTGCTCAAAAGCCATCAAATTTTCTCTGTAAAACTACTTTAGCACCCTTGGGTTTAGCCCTTTCAGTACTTTAGCACCCGTGTTTTTCTGTTGAGACCATGGAGATGTTTTGTTGACTAGGTTGCAGTTACTTTTCGGGCTGTGAAGAAGATACAATCCCTCGAAACGTCAACTTTTGTAGATGGATAAATAATATAGTAACAACCAAGGGCATGCTAATCGGGAAAGCAGCGAAGTACTAATCAGTGCAGAGGATAGGAGAAAGTCGGTCTTGGAAATACCACCGTTACTTTCTGTTAGGTTGTAACATATGAAATGCCCGATTTTAAGTGTGAACTTTAAATAACCATAATTTTTTAGCACTAAAATGTTATTAATTGAATAATTAGGACCGAAATCAGCATGTTTTTTTTTTAACAAGAAACAAGTCTATTTATTCCATTTGCATAAAATTGTGGAGTTCAGCGAGCGATGAATTCGTTGAAGGCATTTTTTGTAATCGTGGTTGGTGAAGCATTTCTCCTGCAGAAGCTTATCAAGATGCTTGAATAAGTGGAAGACCGTAGGCGAGAGATCTGGAGAATATGGCGGATGAGGGAAAGTTGCTGGTCTCACGTTTCGGAACCAGCCCAATTCGTTAAGCTTCTACAGCGCTGGTTCCGAAACGTGAGACCGGACGTTGTCGTGGAGAAGGACTGGTCCTTTTCTGTTGACTAATGTCTGTTGTTGTTCTTGTAGTTTACGGTCAATTTCATGGATTTGTTGGCAACACCGCTCTGTCGTAATGGTTTCACCCGGATTCAAAAAGCTGTAATGAGTCAGCACAGCTGCAGGATGACACTTCAAAACAGCGTTTTTTTTTATTATCGTTTAATTTGTGCGGCAAATATTCACCAAGTTTTTTTGTCGCTCCTAAGTGATTCAAGTGAGTAGAAGTTGCTACTGCGCCCATGTCAGGCTGTTCTACAAGCTTTTGAGTTGTTTGCGCACTTGCTTCCACTAGTGCATTTAATTCGTAGTCATCAAGTTCACTGGGACTTCTACGGCCTTCGTTAACTTCGGGATTGAAATTACTAGATGGGAATTTCCGGAATCATGTTAGTACTGTTAATGCACCAACACTACCTTCACCCAAACTTGGTAATATTACGAGCTCTTTCCGAGGTATTATGTCCACTCTTCCACCCTCAGAAGAAAAGGACACGAATATCACGTTGATTCATATTAAAGTTAAGGTCTGTAAGAATGATAAATTAATAAAACCTAGAAAAGAATAAAAAGAGTAGAAAGAGACAGGCGAAACGAAGGACCGGCATGGTGTGGTGGTGAACGCGTTGCTCCCCTGGAAAGGACAATAGCGCGTTCGTTCCCCACCGCAAACACCTGCGGCCTGGAGTTTTGCAAATGTCTCAGCATTATAGTAGAAAGAGTAGACTTCGTGCTTTGGAAATATGTATAAAACATAAATAAAGAACAAAATTTTTATTTGGGAAAATTACACGGAAAACGAAGACAAAAAAACTGGACATTTCATATGTATCTACCTGATATAAACACTTGATTCTTTGTCGGATTATACAATGCTGGATCGTTGAAAAATTACAAAATATAACAATATGAACTCGCGGTTTGACTGAAATCTGTTAAACTGGATTAGAAGAGAGTTTTTCCTCTACACCTCTTAAGCCGCCCAGATGTCTAGTGATTGGAGGAGAGTTATCTGTCTGTTAAACTGCCAAAAACAATGGGTTTTTCATCGTTTCAATACGCTCACTCAGACTGAGAAGCCTTTCGCAACCTCCACCCAGAAGACCAGCTGCTAAGAGTAATATTATGTTACGAAGGAGTTGGCCGTCTTGCTACATGTGAATATTTCTTTCAAAAGAAGAAGTAAAATTAGTAGGTCTTGCACTAAATTTAAATACTATTCATATCCGTCGTGTAAGCGGAGGCCACTGAGCAATTTCAGTGAGCAGCGGAGCTGCGTATGGATTTTACTCCCACCCGATCAAGTCACTTGATTATCAAGGAGTTTATAGGTAATAGAAATTATTTTATTTTGTCCACTAGGGCAAAAGTGAGGGAGCAGTAGTGCAGCGTATTGGTGGTTCATTACGCAGACGGCCCAATCTGGCCAAACACTGGCCCATTTTCCTACCGATTCCACCAAGCCTCGTAGCCCTTATGGGTTGGGAAATCGATATCGGACTTTTCTAGGAAGAGCTTGCTCCCTCTGCCACGCAAGTGGTAAAGTCCTAGCACGGCTATCTGGAGATTCCAGGAAGAATCGACTCGACCAGAACTCAAGGAGATTCGTGACAAATACGAAAATCCTCATGCAGTGGAGGAGTCTACAAGCGAGAAATTCAACGGCCATCGTGAGTGACGGATGCAAGGAAATGAAGAGAATGTAAGATGTGCTGGGATAGGCACAGTGGGATACATGTGATATCAGGTCATGTAATAAATAATAATGAAATGTGACAGAAGGTTACACCATATATTACCCCGGTTTCTTGATGTAATGATTTACTCAGAAGTAACAGAAGAACAGAAAAAAACTCTTCGGCGATAAGTTTTATTCTTCACATATCACAGTTTATCTCTTTTTAAAGCGTCGATTGATAAGCATCATCGCAGTGTGATTCATTTTACACTTGCTATTCCCTGTTGAAAGTCACTCAGTTCACTTCCATGACGACAATCGGACCAGCTCGTCGTATTCACAACAGTGTTAACGACCTAATAAAGAATACCATAATTGACGTTGAAAAGGTGAATTTTTGATGAGTGTCGAAGAACTTTCATAAGTCCAACTAGTTATTATCACTTTTCAATTTTGTGCTGTAGTTTGAATTTATATTTGGTGGTTGTTAAATGATATTCGAGGAACGGGTACCTGATCGCCGTGAAAAATGACCGTGGTTGGACCGTTCACCGGGCAAGCCAAGCCACCAATCCGTCCAGCGTCGAAAAATTGGCATCAACAGTGGCTGGGATGAGTGCCTTTCGATCTAAAAAGTGTAAACACTGCTCGTGCTGAGGATCTGGGAAGAGGCCGCTACAGCAATCCTAAGATTCCAGCAGAATCTACTCCACCAGTATTCAGCGAAATTCGTGAAGAATGGTAAAATCGTCATGTAGCAAACGAACCCACATTTAAATTGGATGACATCTATGGAAGATGAACAGCAGGAAGCAAATCGAATGCAAAAATGCTCGGATTCCCACAACACGTAATGTCGAGCCACCTAAAAAAGCTTTGGTATTCAGTTTTCAAGACAAATATTCTGCTATTTGTACCGAGTAGATGCTTTCTGCCTTTAAACTAACGTTAAACTTCTGCGTCTTATGTTAAAAATGCACTTTATTCACGAATTTCAAAAAACTGGAATTCTACTACGCAGGTTCTCAATCGACTTCCTACAAGCGGTGAGCGTGTGGACGTAGTGAGTATGCCTGAACACCGAGCATCCAATGAAGTCAATATTTCCATAGGAAAGGATGTGAGAGAAAACATAGCTTTTCCAACATCGAGAGTATTTCATAAAAAATAAACTCAGTCACGAATAATGATTGACATGGAAGTTAACTCTGCTGTTCCAGCATTTTAATGAAAAATTTGCGCTATTGCTAAGCAAATAGTTCTATTAATGAGCATAACAGGTACATTAGTCGCTAAGAAATTGCTAAAAGTTCTAATCACTCTATTTCGATCCACAGTCGCTTTCAGCCGAACACATTGGAGGTGTTTGACGGAAAAATCACGTTTAACGCTTTTGGCTTGGTATGGATGCTTCTACTGACGCGGGGAAGCAAAGTGAAATCATTTGAATCCCATTGCAGTTCCAATCCTGAAGCAGTTTTAATTTCGTATTCTTTGATATATTTTCACAGAGCACGTGTAGTACAGCGGCTAGAGCTGACTTGTTACACACACGACCTCGTCGGTTCTATCCCTCGTCAGGTCAGACCAACACCCACATTACTCCAAGGTCGCTCTAGTAATACCAGGCTTGCACGGGAGGACGAGAACACTGACCCAACGCATTAGTAACCCTCCAAAATTCATTGTATAGGCGAAATATGCATTCGATTATCTCTTTTGTTATTTAATAGATTCGAATGGCAAACTACTGCAAAGAGTAAGAGATAAAGAGCAGTTCGATTTAAAAAACACCAAAGAATTCCAATGTTACTACTTCAAAAGATACTGTCACTAACAATCAACACATTAGAGTGACACTACATTCAATTTTGTGCTTCAGAGCAGGATTTCATCGTCCGCTAGTTATTCAAGCACTGGACAATCGTAAGTGCCAAGCATAATTTTTCATGAATAGAAATCGGTCTATATTTGTATTCCACAGAAAATTTCATGGTAAATACTGTTTTTTGTGTACGACCTAAACACTTTCTCAAAGTTCCTCCTTCATATTCCGCTTCGAAATGAATGCCCCACCTCTCCCCTCTATTTCGGTATTTCCATACCAGAACTTGATGACTAGTGAAATGATCCAGTCTTTCAATCACTGCTGTCATAAAATAAACAAAATTTTGTGATACTCGTTTGTTTGTTTAAGACAATGTAAGCAGTTTCCTATGAAGGTCTGACTAAGGAAAAGTTTTCAATTCGTACTTCTCAAACGGTCCATTTCAATTAGGTGGCATTGTCGATGATACACACATTGGAGAATGATATGAAGTTCCAAAATAGTACTAAACCTAAGGTTTTAATTAATTTCCTTGTTTAGTCAACATGTTGTTACACTTTTTCCAATTATTTTTGATAAGCTTGTAGAAAACGAGCAACAGATTCTTTTTAGTTCTAAATGCTTCGACGATTTCACCTTCTTCTTACTCAAATAAGTAAACAATAATATATCGCGCGTAGCACAGCTGGAGGTGTGCTGCAGTGCATATGTTGTCTCTCGTTCGATCATATGACGAAGGCACGATGAACCACTGCACCATCCGACGTTAGGATATTGGTAACAAACTTGGCGCGTAGCGGCCCTGAGATGATGTTTGCGTAGGCCACCGGAAATCATTGTATAGACCAGATATGCATTCAAACACTTCTAACGATGCTTGATGAAGTCGAAAGTATGGTGCCTCCTTTAGGGATTGATCAACGTCGAAAACTTTTTATTATCCTTCGGTAATACGCTCCTCAGCATTTTAGGCCGTGAAGAAGTCGCAGGTGTCGAAGCAATAGGTATTTAAGAGTAAAAGACGTGTTGATCACATCATGTCATCTCGTGAGCTGTTTGCATGCATATAATCACTTGACATAAACTTTACCTCACTTTACCTCACCTCCATGCTTAAGTAGTTTTGGTAAAACTGCAAAATTTTCAGTATTACCTATTTCTTCTGGCCATTTTCCACACTGTTTAGGTTATTATCAATTCGGACGAAGTACGTTGATGACAACATGAGGAGTCATCAGAAAAGTAGAAAACATCGAAAGGCTACAGCTCGAGTTCTTTCAGATTCCGTAAGTTAAGTCCTATTAAATTTGTTTTCCATATAACATTAACTTCGTCGGAAAACAAGTCGCTATATTATTGTAATCAGCATTAAATAGTTGTATAATTTAGATTCGAGTCATTCCTATGGCTGATAGCAACGGCGTGATAATCGACATGATGCTTCGGTTGTACAAAAAACAACCAGCAGAAACGCAGCTGATTGATATCCGTGTTGAATGCCCCGTTTTCAAACCAAGTCGTATCCGTGTCGACGGCCAATGGTATAATATTGTTTGAGAGAAGTCCGCTGCATTATACGACTAGGGCGTTAGAGTTCTAAGTCTTTTTGAAAGCGAATTTAAAATGTTCTAAGAGTTTTCTCACCTGATTTCAGCATTGTATTAGTGAAATATTTTTTGGGTCATGTGTGAACCTATTGTCACTTTTCAAGTAAGTATAATCATATTTACATCGCTTCGTCAATAAGACCCAGTACTCTAAACTAAAAATCTAAACCCAGTCCACAATAGTTAGGTGTGCATTACGTGCCCTGGGCCTATGCATCGCATGCAAATCGATTGTTACCCTGGTCAAATCGATACGTTTGTTGTCTCGAGATCTCGGTAAGAGAAACACTGCATCCACAACGTTATGTAGCCTCTTCACATCTCATTTGTACACGTTTTTGCATTCGAAAAAGGTGTAAAATAATGTGTATGTGATTGCATTGATAATGTAACAAGCATAACAATGATAGTGAGAAAATTCAGTCGTAAGAAGCTATTGTTAAACTACTACTGTAAGGCACAAGGCGTATGGTGCGTCAAAACGACAATAGATGGACAAGAGTCCTTAGCATCTGTATTCTTTTGGATGTCGAACCCACATCAAGAAGACCACTGGCTCAGTGGTCAGAGTTCCTCACGAGAATTCTAGAAGAAAGATATGATGCTCAGCGAATTTCTAGAGGGAAAAGAAAGAAAGAAAAAGAATAGACTATTCATGCACACGACAGGATCAAATCCATACTTTACTCGAACCTGCTCAGGTAACTCAACGATCAAAGCGAACTTGGATTCAGTGCGTAGAAATGCGTGTCCACTTACTGATCCATTTACTGTTCTAATAGTGTTCAGTCGCGAAATTCACATTACGTCCTTACTTGGAAACTTAGATGGCCCGTTTTCACTGGTTGTGCGAGCCCCATTATAATTTCCACTTTTTCGGAGTTCTGGTGGTTTAGCTATTGTGGTTCACTGGAGTCCAGAGGTCAGCTAGGCCAAAGTCTACGTGGCACTAAGCAACTAGTTTGATACCAGGTCGGTGGTGGGTGGTGGATCCTCGTATTGGTTTGCTCTTAGCTGGGCTTCCTGATGGAAACGTCGGACTCTTCCTCAGCTTGGGAGACCCTGCTGGGTTAAGTTACCTTTTTCACATAATAGATATTGGAAAGGTGATGTTTTCTGGAAAAAGGAACTGGTCTTACTGTGTATATTAGTATCTCTAAGATGAAGATTCTAATTCCAATAACTGGTGCGACTTTTATACTAGAAGTTTGAGTCATTGCTAAAGTGTAGGAAATTCTCGTGGGAATCCAAATTTAGTGTCGCGTTCAGTGATGATGCAATAGAGATAAAAAGAAATTCTCGGCGTTGATCGATCACTTAGGGATGCGCCATCCACTCGACTTCACTAAGCATCGTTGGAAGTGATTGAATGCATATCTGGCCTTTACAGTGACTTGTATTGGCCTACCGATATATCGAGCCAGCACTGCTATCCTCCCGAGACAATTCTGGTACCAATACTGCGCCATTCGTCTCTTGTTATTATATTATAAAACTATGACTACTATCACACGATAATGATCATAATATCGTGAATATCTCCAAGATCTTCTAAGCCAAGGCTTTATAGTGACTGCAAGGTGTTCCTAGGTGTAGGAAAAGAAATGTCCATCCGTTATTATAGAAATAGCTGAGAGACAAGCGAAACGAAGGACCCGCATGGTGTGGTGGTGAACGCGTTACTCCCCGGAAAGGACAATAGCGCGTTCGTACCCCACCATAGACACCTGCGGTCCAGAGTTTTGCAAATATCTCAGCAACGTTGTGGTTGTATTTCGCTTAGTACCCTGCCGCGAAATTATAGTAGGCAGAAAATAAAAGGTATAACATCCGTTATTCCTTATTAGAGGCCATTAATCCTGAAGGATTCCAATTTTTGCTTAAAAACTCATATAATAGCAAAAGAATGAGATATCTGAGGTCATTTTATCTCAATAAAAACTAGAGACAAGGTCCATGTCAAAAGCGTGGTGGTCGTTGTGTCCCACAAGTGCGCTGAGCAACTGAGCAGCTGTTAGCACGCATCAGGGTTAATGCAAACTTTACGACTTTATGTTCGGGCGACTCGACGCTAACCACTGCTGCCGGTGAAACAGTTAACAGTGATTAGTACGTCGAAATTGAATGTTGGATTGATCTGTTGAAATAATTTATTCTGATATTAAATGAAGATCGACATGAATTTTTATTTTTCTTCTTTTCTTACTAAATATTTCATTACTATTATTACAATTATCGTTGTCAACGTTGCTCTTAGTTGTTAAGGCATAGCCGATAGTGCACGGTATTTAACTTCATGTCGTTGTCGCTCTTTTCTTCGTAGAAGACTCCAGTATTTCCAGATTATCCACGTCGTTACGAATCGTATCACGTAAAATATCAACATTGCCAATCCCATCACAGTACCGAATACACGTGCTGAAAAGAGAAAGTACTGAGTTCTTAGCGCTCATTTTTTTCTAACCAGCAACTGTAAAACAACTAGACATCGTCATGAAATTACATTTCGATCAATCAGCATTATTTCCACACGCGGTCGCATTCTATCGAAAAATCGACCAACGATCTAGATATAATAGGCCACGGGAAACAATCCACATAGTACCTTTTACTTCACAGTGGGTGTTCAATGTTTCATTCACTTTTTCTTCCAGTGTTTTGTGCTACCTCTTAAAATTCTTGCATGTTGTAATATTCTCATGCCTTAATGAAATTTCAAACCTAAGCCTCGTAATAAATAGGTCGAGCGGGTGTAGAGTGAAGGACCTTTCACTTCACTAATCATGTATTTGTTATTCCTGCCCTATAACCTACTGTATCATTAATGACTTGACACTATGCTCGCGGGCCTGCCGTACGTTAATTGTCCTTAAGCATCGGGAACGCTGCCGGGTACGGGAACATTGCTTGAGGAGCTAAGCCAAGGACCTTCACCAACCGTTCAACCGCATTTCGTTTTCACTATACACTGCCTACATATTCCAGCACAAAGACAATGCAGTCTCGCAAACAGAACTTCAACTTCAGCTCTCAACCCGCATACAGTTAAAGTATAAAACGATTAAGCTCTCGGTGCTGGTGAATCCCTGAGGGACGAGCCATGCATTCGACTCCATCAAGCATCGTTGGAGGTGACTGAATGCATGGCTGGCTTATAAGATGACTTATGGCGACCTATTGATGGTTGAGCCAGTGCTGCTTTCGTCATAGGCAAGTCTGGTACCAATTTTCCGGCTCCGGAGGGATGGAAGGCTATGTGAGTCTAGGGCGCGGGTTCGAACTAAAACCGACTCAATTGTATTTTAGAGCATTTCTCAGAACTACGCTTCATGTATCCTATGTATGCGATTATAACTTAATTGAACGCTGTCCACTTCAAGTCACTTCATAAAATTCGTTTCGGTGACTATTAACAACTCTAACGACCCCCCAGCGGTTTACGTTCTCATCGTGGCTGGGAGGTGTTCATGGGTGTCAGGCTGCGATGTACAGCAGGAGATTGATCCCCCGGCAGGGTCACCCATGCTGAGAAAGTCCGGCGGTTCCGTCAAGAAGTCGAGCTAAGAGTAAACCACTGCCAGGATCCACCACCGTCCTGGTATCAAACTAGTCGCGTGGTGGCAAATCTTCCGATCCACAAGGGCGGCGACTGCTTGTGGTGGTGACGACCTGGGACAGACTTTGGCCAAGCTGACCTCTAGACTCCAGGGAAACACAACGGCTGAACTAACAAAGCTCCGAAAAGTGGAGAATATGCTGCGGCCCGCATAACTAGTGAGGACGTGCCGTCCAAGTATCCGAGTATTAACAACTCTTAGTTTATGGAACTATTTGAGATCTGGTCATGAGAACGTTAGGAAATGACGAGTTATGTTACTGTACGATAGAAATTAATATCATTACGCTGATATCAGCAATTAATGCATCGGCAGGGCTCATTCCTAAAGTCGACAAAAATGTGGATTGCAATAGAGATTTAAAATTTGTGAACTGTTTATACCGTTGAATTCTTCTCCGTTGTGGCTGATCATACTATTTCCTTTAGGGTTTGGATAGATAGCCAAAATAAAGAATGCAGTGGTAACGAGAAGATCCCATATCAAACAAAGCACCTAAAACAAAACAATGCTGTGATTTACAACATTGATTAATTGGGAGCCTTTCTAGGAAAGAAAGCGCTTTACTATAGATTGTAATCTCAGAGTTTCATGAATAGTAGCTTCTTATTACATAGTTCTTTAGCTTAATCCTGCTCGTTAGACTAGAAACCTTCTTTTAGAATGGATTTTATTTGGATTCTTACAAGAAATATGAGATGTATGAGAAGAAGCCGTGAGTTCTCCTTCCATATTCCGACGCCGGCGATAACGACTTGTACACTAAGAATGAACAAGTTGATACTTACGGCAGTGATGCTCCCTGAAAGTTGGAGTCGATGGAATAAACTATTTTTAGGATCGTGTCCAGCTATGCTTTAGTGTATTGTGATAGAAGGATAAAGGATAAAGCTCTCGGCCTTGATAAATCCCTGAGGGACGCGCCATGCATTCGATTCCATTAAGCATCGTTTGGAGGTGATTGAAAGCATATCTGGCCTTTACAATGACTCGCGGTGGCCTACCGATGTATCGAGCTAGTGCTACTATCCTCCCAGAAAAGTGTGGTACGAATTTGCCGACCATGGAGTGACGGAGGGCTTGGTGGACCATGGGCACGGGGATCGATTCCACATGTGTGTTGTAGGGCGCCATCGACCACTGCGCCAGAAGCGCCTCTTTTTTGTGATAGTTCTCAACAGATAGCGGATGAAATGATAGGAAAAGAATTTAGATGAACTATGAAAAAAATGGTTACAAAATGGACAAATAAAGAGGAAAATAGTAAAATAAACATAGCAATAAGCTTAGAACGATCTTACAGGCTTGGCGATGATTAACACTTGTGAATACG